ATTGGAGTCAGATAAGTACACAGGATGTGCATGCACTGTCCTTAGCACAGCATGAGCTTTACATCATCGTGACTTGAGAAGTTCCTGTTACTTTACTACTTAGTGAATGCTTTGTTAAAATTAAAAGGAGTTGCTTCCATCTTGTCTCCCGCCTCATCAATGCGCATTCGAGATAGAAGGTTAAGCTGGCCTTATCCCTTCAGAGTTAGTATAGGATCCTTGCTCTTGTGGTGAGCTGAGTTAGCTATGCACAACCAAACCCAAGCAATGTGCTGATAGATGAGAATTAACAAAGATGTTATTTTGGTTCTGGGTCTGTGAAAAAAATCTGTGATTTTCTACCTGTACATATTAGTTCTGTGAGTCTTGTACAAATTGGACTAGAGGACCTCTGAGGGCCTTTCCATTTCTGAGGTAATATGATTTTACAAAGTTTCTTTCACGAGGTTACTTCTAAAGATTAGCGTTCAGAGAGCCAGCTTTCTGAATAGGGAGAAGTATTCCATACCCACCCTTTTTGCACTGAATTCTCACATGTTGGGGAAGGTAGCATGGCAGGTAGCTGTCAGGTGCCAGGGAGACCAATGTCCAGACTTACTAATTTATATGGAAACAAAAAGACAAAAATGAAGGGAAGGCCCTTTTTCCTTGATTTTACCTAGATTTTACAGTTTAGGGATATAATTGAGAACAATATTCTGTCTAGAAATTTGTGCTTCTTTGGGGTGAAAAAATATTCTATGGATGCCTTTTATTTTTTTAGAGGTCATTTCTTGATCTAGTTTCTCTGCCTTCCCCACTTGCCATTAAACTCTTCCTTGAAATAAAAACCACATGTGAAAGTATAAGCACCATTCCAGTCTCTTTACAGAGAATTGGGAAATGTGTTTCATCATCTGTTCTTTAAGACGATTGAAGATTTAATCTGAGTTCAGGAGTGTTTTAGTGTAGTCTCATTTATTGATTCTTGTAGTTATTGTTTGTATTGTCCTCATAACCTTCTGTTCTCAAGAATTCTGCCTAGAATGTTGTGGCTTCTCCAGTAAATATTCCCTAGTAATGCTAAGAGTAGTTTGAGCTAGTATCTCTTTTTTAATTAATACATTGGTTGAAAATATGGAAGTCACAATTGCCAGCTTTCCTGTAATTATTTGGAGACATAAAGGTGCATATAGCTCCTGAAAATTAATACATAGTGCTTTTATATGGGATTCAGTGGAAGAATTTAATAAATTTATTATAGAATCTAATTTATAATCTCTTTGCTGCTTCTGATTATTATGTGTCAAATGAGAAACATTTGATTGACAATGGAATAGCAAAATTTTCTGTAGTAATCAAGTGTTTTGGTATGAGATTGCTACTCAGTAGTAGTTTGGCTGATGCTAATTAATTAACATTTTAAAAAGTAAAACAGAAAGAAAGGTAAGGTTTGTAGTACAACTTGAAAAGTTCTTCTTAAAATATCGAATATTTCCATTTTTTTGTCAGCCTTGCTAATTTACCGGGTATGAGTGAGGTAAAACCTCAGTTATTTTAATTTGCATTTCTCTTTGGGAACTGTTCATATAAGTGGCTTTTAAATGATGGAGAACAGTTCTCAAGAGACAAATTTTTATTTTATTTTATTTTAGGCAATTGGAGTTAAGTGACTTGCCCAGGGTCACACAGCTAGTAAGTGTCAAGTGTTTGGTCTGAGGCTGGATTTGAGCTCAGGTCCTCCTGACTTCAGGGCCGGTGCTCTATCCACTGCGCAGTGTAGCTGCCCCGACAGACTTTTCTTAAAGATGCCTAACATGTGGCATATAGAAGTAAGTTTTAACATCTGGGAAAAACTTCTTAGAGTGAATTGAATAATTTCTAAGTTTCACGATGCTAGGCTAATTGTCTTAATACGTCTGCAATCGATGAAGCTTAAAATAATTTAACTTTTTAACTTATGCCTTAAAACACAAAAAAGTTTATTCTTCCTGATGTTAGTCAAAGACTTAAACTTTAAAAACTCATCTTCAATGAGCTGCCGAAGTATCTACAGTGAGAAACATGCTTGTTTGGTGGTTAGACCAGAAATCAAAAGCTTACACTTACTGGGTCTGTCCTCTGCCGCTGATTTACTTGCATCACCAGAATAAATGATTTTTGTCAGTTTGTGCCTCAGAGTGGCAGATACTTTATATTTACTCTGAATCCAATTTAGAGGTAGACTTAGGAAATGATTTAAAAAAAATACAGAAAAATAAGTTCCAGCCTAAGTGGTGGGTCATTGTTTAGAAAATTTGGAAAACTGATTCCTTTAATTAGCCATTTATGTTGGCACAGCACCTTTAATATTTCTTTCTGCCTCAGTCATGTATATTTAATTTCTTACTCTCCTTATTTTAAATTTTATTCCACCTTCTTATTTAGGAAAACAAGTTGAATTTGGCAGTAGTTTAACTTAAAGCTGGATCTTTCCAAGAGAATATTGGTTTTTTAAAAAGTAGGTTAAATTGGCTAAGAGCCAGGTAGTAGAAAGAGTGCAGGACAGGGAATCCATCAGATGACTGGCTTGAGGCCCCAGTTCCTCTCCTTCCCAGCTATGGGACTTTGAGTAACTATTTTAACCTCAGTGTTTTCATCTGTAAAATGGACATAACAATACCTGAATGGCCTGCCTTACCAAGTTTTGAGGATTAGGTGAGATATTGTGTTGAAGATAATGTGTAAATGTAAGCCATATTAATAATTTTAAAAATTCTTCATTTCCATTCTCTCATGCTGCCTTTCTCACTGTAGCTCTGCTCTTTATATAAGGCACTCCATTTCAACACTAGCTAAGTGTGTTAGTAGTGCTATTCTTTGACATGCTAGAAAACTTCTCAATTTATAGTCATGGTAGTCATAGTATTTTAGAGCCACAACCACCTCATGTTCTAGGTGAGGAAACTGAAGCCTGTATAGGTTAAGTGACTCACCAAAGTCACACAGACAGAAACAGCTGGGATGCAAACCTAGTTTCTCTGACTGACCTAAGCATTGAACCTAGCCCAGTTAATGCTTTATTTGGCACTCCTCAAGAGAAAAGAACCTCTTACGAAAATAGTGAACAAGTGTTTATGAAGCACTTACTGTGTGCCAGGCACTGTGCTAAGTGCTGGGGGTACAACTACAATCAAAAAGAAAGGTAATCCCTGCCCACAAGGAACTTAAATTCTTAATGGGGGAAGGTAGCACATAAAATGAAAACTGAAAAGCTGAAGGAGAAAGGAAGTTTTTGGGCTGAGCGTGTGGCTAAGTTCAGAGAATGAGGGGCGGCGGGTCTGGGACCCTTCTTCCAAATGGAGGTTCTGGCATCTTCAAAAGTCTCATGGTGGAAAGTGCTGTCCACATTCAGAGAAAGAACTATGGAGTTGGAATGCAGATCAGTGCATACTATTTGCTCTTCTTTTTCCTTCTGTTTTGTTTTGTTTCCTCTTTCTTGTGGTTCCTCCTATTGGTTCTAATTCTTCCTTATAACATGACTAATGTGAAAATATGTTTAATAGGAATGTATATGTAGAGCCTGTATCATCAGATTGCACACTGTCTTAGGGAGGGAGAGGGAGAAAATTTAAAACTCAAAAGCTTATGGAAGTGATTGTTGAAAACTAAAAATAAATTAATTAATTAAAAAAAACCCGCAAATGGAGGTTCTGGAAAGAACTCGCTAATAAGAGAAGGGGCCTGCAGGAATGTACCCTGTTATAAGCCCCAGAGAGGAGAGAGCTGCAATCAGGAGACAGCTTGTTTCAAACTAAGAGTTTAAATAAAAATGAAGACAATCTAGATGTGAGAAATTGGTGTGTTTTTTTTTAAGGCTAGCTAATGTAAAAGACAGAGTATATGTATGTACCAGGATGTATGGGCAGCTAGGTGGAACAGTGGATAGAGTGCCGGGCCTAAAGTGAGGAAGACTCACCTTCCTGAGTTCAAATCTGGCCTCAGACACTTACTAGCTCTGAGATTCTGGGCAAGTCACTTAACCCTGTTTGCCTCAGTTTCCTTGTCTGTCAAATAAACTGGAGAAGAAAATGACAAACCACTCCATTATCTCTGCCAAGAAGACCCCACATGGTGTCATGAAGAGTTGAACATGACTGAAACAACTGAAAAACAACAAAACAACCAGAATGTATAATCATAAGGATCAGAAGGAATGTAGACTGAAGTATTGCTACCTGTATGTTTAAAATCACTTTTATTGTAAAATGTATTAATCATAAAGTAAGCGTAGAAGGTTTATTAGTGGAAGAGACTTTAGGTATTATCTAGTTGGGAGTTCTTAACCTGGGGGCTGTGAACTTTAAAAAAAAAAAAGCATTCTAGGGCATCTAGGTGGTGCAGTGGATGGAGCACCAGTCCTGGAGTCAGGAGGATCTGAGTTCAAATGAGGTCTCAGACACTTATTAGCTGTGTGACCCTGGGCAAGTCACTTATTCCCCCCTCCAAAAAAAAATTCTGATAACTGTATTTCAATATAATTGGTTTTCTCATAATACTGTATGTTCTTTTTTTTTGTACTTAAAAACATTATACTCTGAATGAGTCCTTAGACTTCACCTGACTGATTGCCAGACAGGGTCTGTGAAACAAAGAGGAAGAACCTTTGACCTTCCTTATTTTACCAGTGAGGAAACTGAGGCAGAGGGAAGAGACATAGCTTGCCTAAGATTCCACGTGGAGGAAGCTCTAGTGCCAGGACTTAAATCCAGTGCTCTCTCTGTTGCCTTACACTTTCTCCCAGGGCCTCAGAAAGGGAAGTGATTTGGCTGAGGTTCCTCAGGGATAACAGAGCTGGAATGTAAATTACCAAATCTCTCCCCCCTTCACCGTGTTGCAGGAGGAAAGAGAAACTAGTTTATATAACCATTGTAGGTACCTAATAAATGCTAGTTGACAGTTGACTTTTATCAGTTCACTTGAAATCTGTACTGATAATAAAAGGGCTTTAAAAAAATCATACCTTTTGTTTTCTCTAACAGAGATGGCATCAGATGTTTCATCATTGGGTGCAGCCATTGTATCTGGAAACCCTGGACCTGGTGTTCAAGGTGGGGGAGCCATCACTCAGCGGACTATTAAGCGTCGGCCAGGGTAAGAGTACAGAATGAGATGGTGTTGAGGGTTCCTGTAAACTTAGAAACCTGATTCTGGAATGTGTTCATTTAGTTGATGCCTAATCTGTCGGTAAGAGAATTGACTTAGTTTCGGAATCACACTTACTCCTCAGCTATTTCTGGCTATTCCCCAATGTTCTGCTACTGAACTGTTGTGTTTGCTAGATTTGGTATGAAGTGGGATTAAAGGTTTGTACTGATTTTATTTTTAAAAAATATCTAACAAATAGTTTAGTAGCCAATTGAGGACTACTGGGATGGATGAATGAATGAAAAAGTATTTGTTAAGCACTTACTGTGTTCAGAGCACTGTGCTAATTGCTGAGGATACAGATAGAAAAGAGCCCACGCTTCATTTGGTGAAGTAATAATACATGGAAGGGGTTTTGGATGAACCATGGGACCTTTCCTTAGGGCACTTCAGCAAAGTATTCTTGTTACCTTTTTAGCATAATTCCAAATTGTTTTCCGGAATGGTTGAACCAGATGGATCAATGTCATTTCCACTGATAATGATATCAGTTTCTCATTCTGAACCCTTTGATAATGCCAAGACCTTGGAGACAAGAACTTTCTTTTCTAGGTCTTTAATAGCCATGGTTGCAGCACCGGCAGGAGCAGTTCCCAGTATGCCTCTCCATGAAGGTTGCTTCCCAGAATGATGGGAATGAGGGATGGACTGGGTGCTGTCATTCTCAGGTTATGGGGCTTACCTGCCTGGCAGGGACAGTGGGTTAACAGTTGGTGTTGGTGGTAGCCCACCTTGGTGGTGGCGAGGAAGGTGGGCCTTTCTCCTTGCAACGATGGTTGCAAGGCCTTGGCTGGAGGCAAGACTGGAGCTGCTGCTATTCTCCAGGCTCTCAGGGTCAGGGGGCTTGTCTCCATCACGCCATAGTTGAAGTTGCAGTGGTTTGACTTGCCTAGTTCACATGTTGCCTCCTCCCTCTCTCTTGGGGTGCCTTGCTGCTTCAGCAAGGCAGGCATACCTTTCCTGTCAGTGGCAGTGGGTCAGCAGTTGGTGGGCATGGCTGGCTCTTTTTCCACAGGAGCTACTGCCCTGGACAATGACTATGGAGTCTGGGTTTAAGGGTCAGGATCCTGGGCTTTCTTTATCTGAGTGTTAGGGGTAGTGGTGGTCAAGGTGGTAGTGCTGGGTTAAATTGCTTGGCACAGTTTACCTCCTGTCTCTTCAGGACACCTTGCTGCTTTATGCGTATATGACTGGGTGTAGTTCTTCATCTTTTTCCACACACAGAAAGTTTTACATCAAGGTTGAGGAAGATGTTGGCTGGTTGCCCTTCAGTGACCTCTGTGCTGCATTTATAAAGCCATTTTGATTTTGTTTTTAAAAGTTATATTCATATCTTTTGTTTTTATATAATCTTCATTTCATAATATATTCCTTTCTCTTCCATACCCAGAAAACCATTTCTTATCACAAAGAATAAAAATACAGAGGAGAAAAAAACAAGTTCAGCAAAACTAGCCAATGTTAAAATATATGTAGTGTTCCACATACATGGTTTCCCGTCTTACCCTGGTCTAGGCCCTCACCTGCTCACGTCTAGATTATTGCAGTAGCCTGCTGGTAGGTGTGCCTGCTTTAAGTCTCTCCTCACTCCAGTTCATCCTCTATTCATTTGCCAAAGTGATTTTCCTAAATTGCAAGTCTGACAATGTCAGACTATTTCTTCTATAACTTATTGGTGTGTTGTTGGTTTTGTGTTGTAGTCAGTCAAAGTAACCAATTTCATTCTTTAAAACATGGTTTGTTACAAAAGTTATAACAGTAGATTGCTTTCCCCCTATCTTCACTTAAACTGTCTTGAACTATTCATTTTTAAATATCAACATCTTCCCTTTGAACTGAAGCAAAACAAAAAACCATCAATCTTCAGAGTTAATGGTATTTTAAAGTTAGAATCAACCTAAAAATTAGGCAGGAGACTGAGTTGATTCTGTTTCTCATTTTTAAGTAATATAGTGTAACAACTTTTCTTGCATTCTAGATCACCTACTCTCAAGAGAACTATCCTCTTATTCATTCTAGGCATTGGGGATAGGATAAGTGTTTCAGAAAAGCAAGCGATAGATACTCCATAGATTGTGGCAGTGTATCAGGGACCAGTGCTTCACATGAGCTTTTCTGGTACTTACTGAAGCCCTGTGTCAGAAAGTATAGTATTATAAACTCTTCGTGATATGTCATCTCTTAATTTCTGATTGAGGTTTCATGCAAAATCAGTCTCTGGGTACACCTTTTTAAAAGTCAGTCACTCACCTAATGCAAATACAATGATGTATTTAGTTGTTCTTTTCCTAGCTTCATCTCCATTTGTTTTGACCCAAAGAGGAAGAATGAAGCTGCTTTGTTATAATTTTCCCTTGTTGCTTTTCTTTTCATTCTTAGATGCCTACTTCTGTGCGGATGAGACAACAGGTGGGTAAAGAATTATTTTGTTAATGAGCTGTCTTTAACATTTTATTTTTGGAATTTTCCAGGCTTGATTTTGATGATGATGGAGAAGGAAACAGTAAATTTTTGAGGTAAGGATTTTTTTCTCATTTCCTAGACTTTTGGAATTAAAAATGACTTTAGATCCCATAACCAGAATTGAAACTACGTAATTTTATGTATTATATTTCTTTTCTTTTTGAGAAGATGCTCAAGCATCCTGTTAGCTCCAGAGGAATGACCTAGAGGCTGATAGGCTTTGCAAGCCTCCCTAATTACTTTCTGCTTCTTGAGGGTAGAGTTTGGAAATTTGTTTATGGGTACTTCTGGAGCACTTGAACTAAGCTTTGTCTGTTATTATAGGGTCATGCAAGATATTTATGATCTGTGATTGGGCCACAGAAGGCTTTTAACTAGCTACCTCCTTTTCCTTTATTCAGATGTTAACATCACCCAGATTATTCCTTGCGTTATAAGGGAGCTGTTTTCTTTGCATTTAATGTAGTATGAAGGAGCTTTTTCTGAAAATCTTGCTTGAGTGTTTAGGTGGTTCAAGTTTTGACTACATGCCATGGCTTAATAGACTTATTTAAACATAATGTAGTCATTGATGTCACCGTTCGTCATAATTTTAGAGACATAGTTTAGGTTCTTAGCTCCTTAGTAACTAAAGAGTTGCTTAATGTCTCCATCAGGGTAGGCTTTAGAACAACACTAAAGAGGAAGAAACATCTACAGATAATTTTTATATCTCCCCTACCCTGTAAACTCAGTTGTCCACTTACACTGATAAGTTAATTCCAGCCCTAAACCCTCAACTTCCTTTATACAGAAGCAATACAAAAAACCAGCAGATTCATTTAACCTTTCTCCTTTCCTCAGAAAGATTGCTGTCCCCTAGAGGTGTGATATAACATAGTTTGAGAGTCAAATGTTCTAGTGGAAAGAGACTTGGACCCTAAATCAATAGATCTTGGTTGAAATCCTGACTCCAGCACTTACTGGCTTTGCTCTGTTCTTGTGTCTGTCAAATGAGGATAAGAATACTTGTACTACCTCCCTCACGGTGTTCTTGGAGGGGGAGAAAGCTTTGTAAACTGGGGAGTAGTTATTTGCAATGTAGTGGTCACACGTGTCATGACACACACTTCAGTGCATTGTAGGAATTCTTCTAAAATATTCTGGAGAGGTCATGAATCTTCTGTTTGTACATTTTTATTGATGCTCATTTAATTACCATAGAAAGCAGCCGGTTCCATTGGGAGACAATTAATTGCTGGAAAGTCATGTTCAAATTGAAGTCAAAATATGATTTGTGTCACTCTACCTTGGTTCTCCTGTCCTAGTTCTGCACTCAGGAATTAACATAGAATTAAGTCTAAACTCTTTTCCTCTGATGACCTTGGAGATATTTTAGTACAAGTATTTTCTCTCCTAAGACGTCTTTTCTTCAGCAGTAAACATCTCCATTTCCTTTAATTGCCCCTTATATGGCATGATTTCCAGGCCTTTTATCATCTTTTTCTCCCCAGTATGCTTAGTAAAATGTAGAATCCAGAGCCAAACAAAATATTCTAGACTTGACGTGGCAGTACAAAGTATATAATTATTGTATCCTTGTTCTAAGGAATGTTGTACAGCCTAAGATTACCTACCTTTGCGTAGGTATCTCAGTTTTGGCTTGTAGTCCCCAAAAGTCTTTTTTTCATTTAAGCTTTTGTTAGTCACTTGATAGGAAGCGAGCACAGTTCAGTAGACTTTCTCCTGGCATATTCATACCATACTAGCCTCAGTGGTCTAGAGCAGTATTTTAGCAGGCTGATATATTGGTTCTGTCAACGGCCAGTCACAGCGTCAGGAGTCTTATGTGAAAGCCAGGTTTATTACAAGAGAAATGAACATGCATGTGGAACCCAGAGTTCACAATCCTCGTAGAAGTTTGCATATTTTTGACACTACAACAAAAAGAGGAGGAGAAAACAGGAAGGGGTTTGGCATGGGAGGGGAAAGGTGCAGTGAAGGTGGGAAAGGACAAAACCCCTTCTGAAGGGGAGGAGCAAGGCTATGGAAAAAGCTGCATTCTTTTCTCTTCAGAACCGCTAGACTGAAGATAGAGTCTGCTTATCTACAAAGTACCCCAGCTCCAAAAGCATTTTCTGGGTCTGGCACAGACTGGGTGGCACCTGTCTTGCTTCCCAAGGACACACAGGGAATTCAGCTTGGGAGGTGCAAACAACAAATTATATTCTGGGGTGGGAATGGGGGGGGTGCTTCATCCTTGATATATTCATAGCCTCCTGCATGCTCAGGGGACCCCTTAACAGCCTGTGTGCATATATCTCAAGCCTCATTTGTAGTGCACTTCTATGACTTCATGATTAAATTCCTACTTGGAGTGGAAGCATGAAAAATATGTGCCAGTTGATATGTACAAGTTATCCTAGAGCATCCTTATTTATACTGTCTAGTGATTTATGGTCAGTTCTAGGAGCAAGGCACAGATGTATTGATTAATTTCATGATTGCTTTTAAAAGTGCACTTATTGGTTTTATTTTTTAGGTAGTGTCTATAACATAGATTCTCTGGTAGTGTAGGAGAACAGGGATGGGGCTGATATCCAAAATGAGTGGTGTTAGAACATTCAAGGTTTTTTTTGTTTTGTTTTGTTTTTGTTTATTTGTTTTTTGAAGCAATCAGGGTTAAGTGACTTGCCCAGTCACTTAGGTAGTAAGTGTCTGAAACCAGATTTGAACTTGGGTCCTCCTGACTCCAGGGCCAGTGCACCATCCACTACACCACCTAGCTGCCCCCCCTTTTTTCTTTTTGGTGAGTCAAAGACCTGAGCTCTGTCTGCTGTGCCACCTAGCTGCCCCAAAGAGGAAAGGAGTATACTTTTTTTTTCTTTTTTGGTGAGGATTAAGTGACTTGCCCAGGGTCACATATCTAGTACGTGTCAAGTGTCTGAGGCTGGATTTGAACTCAGGTCTTCCTGACTCTTAAGACCAGAGCTCTATCCACTGTGCCACCTAGCTGCCCCCATTCTTTGCCTTTAAAAAAGTAAAACAATTTATCTCTAATAGAGATTGCTTTAAACTTCTAAGGTCATTCATTTATTCTCATTTTGCTTTTGCACTTGAGCCTTGTTAAAAATATATATACATCCATTATTTTCCAGTTAACAAGCATTTATTTTCTCTCCCTTCATTCCCCCCTCCGAAAAAGAAGAAAAGCAAAACCTTCGTAATGTATGTATAGTTAAGCAAAATTAAATTTCTGTGTCCAAAATTGCATGTCTCATTCTGCGTCTTCAGTCTATTACCTCCATCAAAAGGTAGGTAGCATTCTTCATCATCAGTCCTCTGGACCTCTGATTTGTCTTTGCATTGATGAGAGCTCATAAGTCTTTCAAAGACTTTTTATTTTTGTTTTATTTGTTCTTACATAAATTGTTCTCTTGGTTCTGCTTACTTTACTCTGCATTATTAGTTCATCTGTAGAGATTTTCACTTCTGTGGTTCTGCTGTATTGAAGATTTGGGCGTCTGTGAGGCAGTAGTGTAAAGTGCAGACTCGACAACTGATTGAACTTTCTATACATTTATGGTAAAAAACTTACCTGGCTCCTTTTGGTGTATGCTGTCCAGGCCTTAGAGCATTTTACTGTAACAAGGAGGAGAAAGAAAATTAGATTATCCACATATAGATTAAATTGGCTCTGAAGATACTAAAGATCTCTTTTCATAAGAACTTGTTATTGTTTCTGTTGTAGCAAGCAGGATGGAATCTACCTGGTAAGCTGATGATGACTGGATCAAGCTTATTACTTAAATAAAAAAATAAACTGTATTTTTCAAAGCATGATTTAAGCCATCCTTTTCTTGAGTGGTTATGGCAGTATATGTAGCAGCTTTCCTCATGAGATCATTTTCTTTCTTTTTGGCCTCTTTTGATATATGATAAATACATTAGGATCTTGGCAAGGATTAACAATCTGTTGGGCCTTTTCTAGCCTGGGTGCTACTTTCTCTACAACATTGGTATTCCCCCATCATCTCCCTTTTTATAATGTCCTTTATGTTGTACCACATTTCTAACTCAGAGAAAAATAAGTTAAATGACCACAATGTAGTGAAATTGTTCTTTCTTTTCTTCTCCAGATGTGATGATGATCAGATGCCTAATGATAAAGAGCGGTTTGCCAGGTAATGTTAACGCAAGCTCTTAGTCCTCTATACCATGGTATCAGGCACCCTGTCCATACTGTTTTTTCTGACTGGAGTGGCTTGGTCTGCCTACTCTAACTTGTTCTGTTTAGAGATCTAGAAAGTTCAAAACTCCAGCTCCTATTGTTTAATAAAGTTCATGCCATTTCACCATAAAACAGTGAATAGAAATATATTGGCATATGTTACTGTGTTTATGCACATCCCCTATCGTTAAAGTGGTATACCACCTGGGTGCTATGCAGTGTCAGCCAAAATCTGAATTAACTGCCATGTGGAATTGCTTTGACTTGTTTGTTAAGTGAATATTTAAAATCTGTTTATGTAATATTATTGGGCCTGGGTCAGAAGTCTTTTTCAGATTCTGTTTTTAGAACTAGAGTAGATGTGATTTGAAATAGAATTAGTTTATTTAAATGGCTAGTAAAAAACTCAGTTTTTTCCTTTATTAAAAAGTATATTCTTTTTTAGTATTACTTGGGTATTTACATTTTTTTGTAATTCATGCATTTTTTCATCTTAGAAGATAACTTACATTTTAAAGCAGTGCTTTATTTTTATATTTTTCAGATTAATTTTGTGCTGCATCAGAAAAGTGTGTAATGGGTTTGATTCAAAACTGTGGGTCTAGGAAACACTTTGTTAAAACACCTTGTTATATACTGTGAGAAACTGGCATTAAACTTGGTTGCTGTCCTGAAGATATTATAGTCTATTTGGGAAGATTAAATGATGAACGACATAAGGCAGTATAAAATGAAATACTTAATTGTGTGGTAGGTTCTAAGTATGGTAGGATTTCAGAGAAAAGGATGATGATGATTTGTGAGTCCTGGAGTAGTCGGGGAGGGATTCATGGAGGAGATGAATTTTAGGTTGGACTTTGAATAGAATTTGAATAGAGACATAGAAAGCTTTTCTATTTGAGGAAAAATATCTAAGGCATGGAAGTAGAAACTTTCACTTTCTTTGTAGAAACGGATCAGAGGGTTAGGGAGTAGTGGGACATAGGTAGAATAGGGCTGGGTTAGGGGAGACATCTCAGGCTGGACAAAGGAGATTGAGCTTGATAAATTTGATAGTAAGCCGTGTTAGACTTTTCAGAGACAACATAGTGTCATAGATGTATTGAAGGAAGAATTGACAGGATCTAACTTAATTGTGTCATTTAGCACAACTTATTGAAGTAGATACTTATTAAATCGTTGGGAGGTAAACCAGCACTAATTCAATAGGTTAGTTGTGGCTGTTTGGAGAATATTTTTGCCATCCAAATCAAGATGATAAATCACAGAGTACACTGCTTTTAGATGTTGCCTGGCTTCTCTACAAACAAAATTTATTTTTTTAAGATATGATTCTTACTTGTAATGCAGCTGTTTGGATCAAGAGCAGTGTGGTAGAGTTGGAAAGAGTGTTGAATTGAGAATTAGAGGCCCTGAGTTTAAATACTAGTTTTGACACTTGTGACCCATATACTTGGGTCATAAACCTTTTTGGGCTTTAGTTCTTTATCTGGAAAAGAAGGATATAGGACAGTGTGGCCTTCAAAGTTGTATCTGGCTTTAGAACATACATGTCGAAGAGGGGTCACTTTTACATATTTAAATAGTGTATTTAAAAATAGAAAACCATTCTTAGTCTACAGCAGACAAAAACAGGCTGCAGGCCAGGGAAAGGTCAGGTTATAGGTGGCCACTGGACCTTGATTCTCTCTTGATTTCCATTATCCATTCCACTTTGGTAGTTTTCTCAGGGAACTGAGATTTAGACTGCTTGTGCTTAGGTGTCTATGAAAGTCTGATTTTGAACTTTCCATTGAGTTATTTTTCCTGAAATGTAATTTTTTTCTCCCAGTACAGGTCCTCTAGTGTACTGGCAAGCCCTGATAGTTGCACTTGTGTAGCATCTCTCACATTCCCTCCTACAGTCTTCACTAGAGTGAATTTATAGACTTCAAGTGTGGGGATAATTTTCTACCTTTTATTGAAAAAAAATTACGGGCTTTTTAAAACAAGAAAATTAAGCTGCTTTCCTTGCTAACGGCAGGAAGAGGGAGGAGAACCCAATGAGCAATGAACTATTTATATCAATCTCCATTTTCTTCTGATCTTTGGTAGAGTATAGAATGTATTTTTTTATACTTGTAATCATTGTGCATGTGTTATTTTGTGTTCTCCATTTTTCACTGAAACATTATTTCATATAAGCATTTCTATATATTAACATATCAGTTGTAATAGCTATGTAAGAGTTCATCGTGTTAATACAGCATAGTGTGCTTTGTTTCTTAAGCGGCAGCAGATATCCTAAAAATAGAACCAGTGGCTGACACTCTCATCTGCTCCTGTGCCACACTAGCATGGTATTTCTTCAGTTGCCACTGAGATACCTCAGTTTCCCAGTAAAAGTTACCGGTAACCCATTGTTTCTCCTTCAGAGGAGGGGCTAGTACTAGGGGAACAAGAGTGTTGTGGTTCTTTTGCAGAGAGTTGGTTAAGTTGGGAATGAATGAATAGAAAGCAGGAGTTATTTGGAAAAGCAGACAAAGACTAAAGAGAGTGCCAGAAACTGGGCTCTGCATGCTATTTATATAGCCTCTCCAGTGCAACTCTGTTGTTTTCTGTGACTCGGAGCATACGTGTGTGTCTATTAATGACAACCTGTTCTTAATCTCTTGTTCCAAGTTCAGATAGGAACAATTCTTACCTTGTTGAGTAGCAACATATCTCCTTCCCTTATTGGGAGGGAGCAGTGTATGACAGAGCAGGCCTCCTAAGTTCTCTTGGATTATTCTCTCACAGACTTTAGATATCTTTACTGTCTACTTTAATAGGGTCTAATTGAGGTTGCAAAGTGCTTTATGTTCAGATGGGGTTCATTCAAAGTTTCTTTTAAATTGATCTTTGTCTTCCATATTGGTTTCTTTGTTCTAACAGGTGGTTTTGCATAGCTATGGGCTGAGTTCCATTTTATCTTTCTTCCCTTTTGCCCATCTTCCTTTCATTTATCTTTATTAAAAAATTTTTAGCTTAGTTCATCAATTTTATTTTTAGGTCGGATGATGAACAGAGTTCAGCGGATAAAGAGAGACTTGCCAGGTAGGAGAACAGTGTTCAACATGGTGAAGCCAACAATGTTCTTTTTTCTTCTCCTTCCCAATCTAAAAATTTCCTTTCATTTCCCTTCCTCTTTGTGCATTCTCTTATCTGTGACAGATGAAGATGGTACCTTATGGAAGTGTATGTGAAATTAAGCCCTTTTGGGCTTCCCCCCAGAAAAATAATGTGGGTTGGGGAAAATGGCCAATTTTTAAATTTAGAAAATTGTTATTAGTAATAGAGTTTTATTCTTCCTTTGAATCCTAGCATCAAGTGATTAGAGAACAGAAAGCTCTCACAGTCTCAGTAGCTGTGCCAGTTTGTGCTTTGGCAGGGATGTACTTTCTTGTCAGAAAGCCAAATGCCAAAAAATACTCTGTGTTTAAGATCATCTCCTGCCATGTTAAACCACAGCAGTTCCTTCCCTACCACTCTAGAAAACCATCTATCCTGGTTTCCGGTGTTGTTTTGTAGCCCACATTGCTGTGCCACAAAAGGATTGCATTGCTTCAGTGATGGAGGCTTTGCTTGTGGCTGCTCAGAATCATCTCGGCAGCTTCTTTGTGGTCATCAGAAAGTTCATTCTTTGAGATTGGGTGTCAAATACTTGTCAGACAGGTGTCTGCTCCCACTCTAAAGGTGGAGTTTTAAGTGTTCTGAAGTAACAGTCATGAAATTAGAGGTCTGTGTAGGGGAAATCCATTTCTTCTTTGCACAGGAAGACTTTAGGGTTGTTTTTGCTGGCTGTCAACCCCAGCTTAGTAAGAGAGTAGCAGAAAATGGGTCAGAGTTTCTTTGGTATGTGATGGGTAGCTGAAGCCGGTACTCAGGAGATTTTTTTTTTTAAGCTCTGTCATCCTTTTTTCCACTCATTTTTCCATGCTTTTTTCCCTTCTTGTTTTCCATCTTTGCTACAAAATTTTTGTTAGTATTCCATGCTGTATTTCCTACTAACCAGCACACTCTTTAGAAAACCTGGTTCTGCGTGGCCTAATGTGAAGAGCCCTGAATTCAGTAGACCTGGGTTCAAGTCTTTGTCCTGCCATTAACTGGCTGAGGGACCTTGGATAAGTCCCTTAGCCTGTCTGGTCCTATATCTCCTCACATGTACGATGAGGTGGTTACACTATATCTAAAGTTCCTTTTATCTGTAAAGTACTTTAACTCCTGTTTTAGTTTTGGGAAAGCAATGTTGGGGACCAGGTCTTCTGGCCCTAAAATGACAGTCTAGTCAAACCCAGGTGCCACTGTTTATCTTCACCTTTGAAGTCATAAAGTGGTCTGCCTCCCTTAGGTCTTCTAGAATGATTTTCACTCATTTCTCTGCTTCACATTTGTGGTTCACAAGAAACCCTTTTGGGAGCATCTTGTGGCGAAATATTTGTTTAGACGTTTAGTTTATTAATTAAAGAAGATACAACTTTCTGTCTCAGGAGTAGCATATAATAACTTTTTAACATAATACCCTCAACTTTGCCCTATCTGTATTTTTTTGAGCAAGACATAAGCTAGGAGTGGAGCAGCATGGGGAAAACCTGTACTTACAGTCACATTTCTATACCCACTTTATGAATTATACTTAGGTAAACAGGTCATTTTCCCATGTCACCCTTCACTTGAAAAGTTTAGTAAATGAGCATAATGTCGACCACTTGAAAATAGAGATTCCTTAGGAACTTCAATGAATGAAGTCAATGTCCTTTACTTGAAAAAGAACTACCAGCTTTTGCTGAGAGGCAATTTTCAAAGGATATGAAATGAAGGGCTCCATTAGGTTAGCAGGGAGACCCTGGGATCTTCCTGCCCTCTCTCCTGCCTTGTGTCATTTTCTGTTTTGTGCATGATCTGCATGAGAGGGTTGGCTATCCCTCCTAACTTCTTGAAGACTTTAGCACTACTAAAACAAAATGTCACATCCCTCAGCAGCCTATCTGGTAGGTATGTTGCTTCATTATGCCACTAAATGACTGGGTATGACCTACTAGGTGGGGCTTTTCCCCTTTCTCTCAATGTAGGGAAAATCATAGTGAAATTGAACGTCGACGGCGGAATAAGATGACAGCTTACATCACAGAACTGTCAGACATGGTACCCACCTGCAGTGCCTTGGCCCGAAAACCAGACAAGTTGACCATCTTACGCATGGCCGTGTCACACATGAAGTCCTTGAGGGGAACTGGCAACACTTCTACAGATGGCACCTATAAACCATCCTTCCTTACTGACCAGGTCTCTGGGTCCCACTAGCCCTAAAGAGGCCTGGGAGTTGGGTGGATCATTTTGTAACTTTGTTCCTCTTTGGGTAAATAACTATATTTTCCAGACAGTATATCAGAGTAGGGGAGAATATATGTGAAGTGTTGAAGGAAACAGCAATTTTGAGAAAAAGACTGAAAATCGAGTTACAGTGAAAATAGGAACTTCTCCCTTCACCGTATTTGTTGACCTTTAGGCTACTGTTGCTCGTGGCTGTCGGGTGCATTAGTGTTGGGACTATGAAATAAGGAAGGGACTGGTTAAAGCTAATGGGGGTTTTGGAATTTGGCACAAACACTTAGCTTACAAAGTGTGGTGGAATAATTGGGGCAGGAGAGTCGTTAAGAAAGAGAAACAGGTTTGAGAGATCTCTAATTCAACCTGTGATGTGTATGAGGGACTTGGACTTCCCCTGAGCATGAGCATTTATGAAGGATGGAGAATAGTCCCTGATACCGAATGTTGCTATGGTTTAAATGAGGAAAGAAGGAAGTCCAGTGGGCAATTGCTCTGACAAAGAGCTCTGAACTATATACTCTGAGGATTCCAAAGGAGGATACATGATCTCTATTTTTGTGGAGCCCACAGTCTAAGTAAAAGAGGCATTAAAAAATGACATGAAGAAATAGAAATTATATATTGCTAGATAAATAAGTGCTAGAGATGAGCAGAATTGAATGGAATAATGAAAGCTTAGTGAGGATAATCATGTTGGACTTCTTGGAGTAGAAGAGCTTTAAACAGGGATTTAAAGCAAAGGAAAAAGGACACAGATTTGTTTCCTAGTTCTACACAGGAGAATTTCTGTAAAGATTATATAAAGATTCAGATAACAGAGTAGAAGCTCATAGAAATAACCTTAGAAAAGATAGTCCTTTTTTTTAACATGAAGAAACTAAGACACAGAAAAATTAGATATCTATGTGAATATATATAGAAAAAGTTACCAAGACGTTATCTCAAGATACTTTAGAAATGCAGCTGTAATTGAGGTGGAAGAAGAGTGGATGAGGGTTGGAGCCCTGGTACTACTTTGAAATTAAGCTTTTTTTGGTCATAAGAGATGCAGACTCCTTGAATCCTCCACTGATGGAAATAACTTAGTTTCTCAGAGTTTATCGTATTAATTCTTTGTATTCTACTTTGGGTAGGAGCTGAAACACCTGATACTGGAAGCAGCAGATGGTTTTCTGTTCATTGTGTCATGTGAGACAGGCCGAGTGGTGTATGTATCTGATTCAGTGACTCCTGTCTTGAACCAACCACAGTCCGAATGGTTTGGCAGCACGCTTTATGACCAAGTGCACCCAGATGATGTGGATAAGCTCCGGGAGCAGCTCTCCACCTCTGAAAATGCTTTGACTGGTGAGACTTGAATAGTTGGTCAATGGGAAAAAAAAGGGATGGTAAGGGTTTTGAAGCAGAATCCAAGTCCTCTGGCTCCACAGCCTGTGCTTTGTCATGCTGCCATAAAGTAGGAGTGGGTTTTGTGCCTTTTCCTTCTTCTCCCCTTCTCCCGTCTGTGTTGGCTTAAAGGGAGCTAAAGAAATGCACTGTCTCCAGAAATCTTCTAATCCTATAAAATCAAGTCTTTATTGTTTACACGTGGATCATCTACTTATGCCTTATCCTTGGATAATTTTTCATCTAAGATTGATACCTGGAATGGACCAAGACTCCCCTTTCACACCATCATTCATCAGTATTTTATTAGGGAAGGTAACTCATTTTAATGTTACCATGAGCTGAATAAGGCATCAAATCTGAAAAGAAAATAAGAATTCAAGACTCTTGCTAAATGGAGGTCATTTAAGAGACTCCAGTGGAGTCTAGTAGAAATAAAATCAAAGATATGCTAAGGTTTGGGGTGAACCAGTGTCAATAACTTTATCTTGTTGTTGATCGTTAGTTTCTGTCTTATTGTCATCTGTGGAGTTCAAGTTAGCCTGCTCTTTCATTCTCCGTAGTTTTAGCATGAATATTTGGAGGATTTTTTTAATCTTTCCATTGCCCAGAATGGGAATTCCCTCCATCAATGCCAATCACAGCCTATTTGTGACTTAAGTAATTCCTAGGGAGTTTCCTGAGGCCTGTGGAAATGAAGTGACTTACCCACAATCATATAAGTCAGCAAGTATTTGTTCAATGTCTGCTGTGCCTAAGTAGCTTCGAACTGGGTAAATTATATATGTACTGGGAAAACCAAATAAAAAATGAAATGCTTCCATTCTTTGGTGGAGAGCACATAGACAGATGTATGTAGGAAATAAATAGAAGGTGATTTCAGTAGGGTCAGGAGAGATGGGGACAGCTCCCATGGAAGAGGTGGCATATGAGGAAAAGAAGGATTCTAGGAGGCTGACGTCATACCACTACTAAGTAATCCTGGTCTTCCTGACTCCCAACCCAGCACCCCAAACCCTATGCCATGCTACTTTTCTCTGTTACCATGGCGTGATCTAATTAATAGTACATTTAATGCTTGATTTCTGTTAACAGTGGGGAAACACAATGATACATTAACTGCACATAATCAGAAATACTTGTCCTTTAAAGTTTCTGGTTGTGGTTAAGTTTGTCTTTCTAATAAAGTGGCACATAGGTACTTAGTAATTGCTTGTTGATTGATTTTTATTAAGCTTAAATATTATGTGCCAGATGAGAGCCTGCCTAAGATTAAAAATTTATCATACATAGTCTGTATATGTGTAATTGATGGTTGAGTGTGCTAGACATTCACTTTCCCACTCCTCATAGACTCCTTCCCATATAGCGGGGGCCCAGTGTGATGGTCAGGGCCGTCCATTTCCATTAATACTGAAAGCATTAGACAGAGACAGGAAAGAAGTGAGAAGTTTCTTAGATCAGTGCCAAATCCCAAACTTATGCTATTGCTAAAAATTGGTTAGGGCTGCAAATGTCTTTCTGCCTTTGTTTCCATGTATCTCTTAATCCATTCCTCTACATTTTTATCTTTTTCTTTTCCACAAAGCAGTTCACTCCAAGCTGCTTTTTTTCCCCTCCTTCCAGGTCGAATTTTGGACCTGAAGACTGGGACAGTAAAGAAGGAGGGTCAGCAGTCTTCCATGAGGATGTGTATGGGTTCAAGGAGGTCATTTATCTGCCGGATGAGGTAAGTGGAAAGTTGGTGTGGTTTTATTTAGGAAGAACTCAGCATTGAGTAGAGTACTTAATTTCTTAATCAGGTATCAGAGGCCTTAAACTCCAAAAAACATTGATTGATTTAAATTCATTTCTTTAAACCCAGAGGGGTAAGGCATCAACAATAATAATAACGGTAATACTAATAACAGTAACAGCTAACATTTATGTAGCAGTTTAAAGTTGGTAAAACATTTTGTATATATTATCTTATTTGAGTCTTAAAACAACTTTTTGAGGTAGGAGCTATAGATGATATTTTCATTTTGCAAATAAGGAAACAGGCCCAAGTGACTTACTCATAGTCTCATAATTAGTATTGTTGATTCAGGTTTCGAATCCAGGTCATCCTGACTCCATACTTTTCCCAACATATGTGCACTCACAATTGATCATTCTGTTTCAGTGATTGCAACTTTATGAGAAATGTGGGGTTCCTAAATATATAAACAGTATATTTTTGAGTACTATTCTAGACATTGTTAGATGACATTGAGACAAGAGAGGTCACTCGTAACCTCAGGAAGCTTACAGTTTAATAGTAGCAGGTAGGTGGATCCTATCAGTGGATAGAATGTTGGAAATAGAATCAGGAATTTTAACCTGAGTTTAAATTTTGTCTCAGATAGGGCTTGTGTGACCCTGGACAAAGGCCTTAACTTCTCTGTGCTTCAGTTTCTTCTGCACAATGAGGATAATAATAGCAACTACCATCTAGGGTTGTTGTAAGGATAAAATTGAGATAGTATTTGTAAAGTGCTTTGTAAATCCTAAAATGTTATATAAATGCTGACTCTAATGGGGGAAACATGGTAGAAATGAGCCAGTAATGTGCAAAACTGTGTGTAAACTGTTGAGATTATGTGGAATAAAGAATTATGAGATTTGAGTAGGGTTAATCAGTAAAACTCTCCTGGAGGAGGTGAATATTAAGCAGAACTTTGAAGGAGGATGAGAATCAGAGCTTGGTAGGGAGTACAGTGTCCTAGGCCGTGAAAATGTCTAATGCAAACACTTAGTGGTAGGAACAATAAAATCATGCATTAAAGATGTAAGCAGTCAGTCTGTAGACTCCTGTTCCCATTTTTGACAAGTGATATATAGTATGTTTTTGTCTGGAATTCAGATATCAGTGGTGTTTTCTATCTTTCTCTTTTTGTTAAAAGCCTCATTTCTTAAAGAAAGCAGTGTAATTCCCAAACTACTTTATCTTCTGCTCTGAAGACCAGTTGTCGCTGGTCTGTTAGCTTCATGGATGCCACGGGAAGCTCTTACATTGGTCAGCCTAAACTTTCTTTTTTCCATTGGGCAGGTGTGGTAATAGCTCTGTGGATCCAGGTTCCATGAACAGATTGAGCTATGTGAGGAACAGGTGCAGGTGAGTTTGAAGGTCATCATGTCCAGAGAGAGTGCTTCACAAATGTCTGGGGTAGCCTCTGTCCTGCAGAGATCAGTATATTCTTTTCCCTGCCTTGGAAAAGATAGTTTTCCTGTCAACTCTCCAGGGGAAAAAGCACAATAGTTTGTTTCTCTTTGTTACCCATTTCCAGGGTATCCCTTACCCAGGAAGAAATCTACACGTTTTGTGTGGAGGAGTGTAGGTCTCCCTAAGATGAGTTCTTCTTGCTGCAATAAGAGAGCATAGTATATCAGTTGCTTTGGTGTGGAAAAGGGCTACTGATTATCTTGTCAGATAACTCAAAGCCTTAAGTTAAATGTGCCATGCAAAACCAAAAATTGACCCATAAATAAAGTTTCATGAGGGTGGTTTTCTTTTTTGACTTTGTAAAAAAAATTTTTTAAATTTTGATTATCTTTTGATTTTACATCACCAGAATTTATTCTAGTATCCATTCCCCTTCTCCCTCCCAGAGGGCCATCCCATATAACAAATAGAAAAAAATCAGCAAAACTAATCATTTCGTAATATAAGCAGTGTTCCACGTGTGAACCTCCCATTTCTGCAAAGGAAAAAAAAATCTCTTTAGATACTCTTTGGAGCTATGCTTGTTTTTGGTAATTTGGCAACATTCTCTTTTTTAAAAAATTGTTTTATGGTTCTTCTGTTTACATTGTTGTAGTCATTATGCATGTTGTCTTCTGAGCTCTTCTTCCTGCATTCTGTAGTAGATCATTTTGTATTCATCATAGTCATCATTTCATGTTCACAGTTTGTTTAGCCGTTCCCTAATAGATGAGCATCTACTTTGTTTCCAGTTCTTTTCTGCCACAAAAAGTGATTCTGTAAATATTTTGGTCTTTATGGAGGCTTTCTTATCAATAACCTTCTTGGGGCATAAGCCTAGTTAGTGGAATTGCTGGGCCAAAGGGTATGGGCATTTTAGTAACTTTACTTGCATAATTCTAAATTGCTTTCCACAACTGTTGTACTGATTGACAGTACAGTGCACTAGTAAGCCTGTCTTTAAAGCTGTGTTTTCTCCTGAGATATATATATGATTTTCTCTAGGAATGGGCTTGGCTCTGTGAAGGAAGGGGAGCCTCACTTTGTGGTTGTCCACTGCACAGGCTACATCAAGGCCTGGCCCCCAGCAGGTATGCATGACTTTTCATAAAGGGTAAAAAGTGAACGAACGTTTATTGTTCACTCATTGTATGCAGCATATTGTATTATACTCTGCAGAGGACCAGAGAAGGACCAAAGAAGACTCGATACTGTCTCAGTTCCTGGGCCATACAGAGCATATAGGGGGTATATCTACTTTTAACCATGAATGAGCACTAATAAATATGAGCAAATACAGTATATCCTTAAGTGTAAATTGACAGGAACGTCCACCAAGCACATAAAGGAGTAATGAGAGCTCAGGGTAGCCTATAGAAAAAGTTTTCCAAAGTAGGGGGTCTCCAAACTTTGAAGTAGAGGCAGGCCTTGGATTGGTGGGAAGGATGTGTAGGCAGAGTGCCTCATATCAGGTTTGACGTCAGGATCGAGCAAGTCAAAGAGGGGATGGAGAGCAGACTAACTTGGCTAGGTCTGTAGTCAGGGAGAAAACTCTTCTTCCAGCTGGTCTGGCAAAAGATTCTGGATTCCTGAGACTGTCCTCTTCCATTCTTCCAGCCCTTCCCCTGCTGAGTCTGGGTGCTTCCTTTTGTCTATTGAAAGGAGAAAGTAAAATGAAACAAACAAAAAAATTTAGTTTCTAGGCAGCAGTGCTTAAATTTGCACTTAAAAATGGATTTTAATTTGTAATAAATGTGCAAATTACAATCCAAAGTATTTAGGTCTTTCCTTCCTGCTTTGGTTTGGTCTTCAGGTTAGGGAAATGGTATTGCTATTATTCTGGGTAAAAAAAGAAAGTATCAGAGCTCTGAGGAAGGAATGAGATTACCCTATTTTCCTCTTCCACACAGGAGTATGGCTCTTCCCACCCACCCACCCACCCCCACTCCCCCACCCTCCCAAGGTATAGAAATAAGTATTTGGTTGGACATTGTTTGGTTTTTGGTGTGTTATTTATTTTTAAGGCCACTGCTGGGGCAGGACATCTCTTGACTCTTGCTAATATTGCTATATACTCTGACTTTATCTCCTTCTATAGGTGTCTCGCTCCCAGATGATGACCCAGAGGCTAGCCAAGGAAGCAAGTTCTGCCTTGTGGCCATTGGCCGATTGCAGGCAAGTGTAAAGTATTTTTCTCCCCCTCCCCCTCCTGCTTTGAGCTTGTGCATACATCGTTCCTCCTTTCCTGTTCTGTCTTATTACCTGACTCCACAGAAACAAAAATGTAAAACTTTGGACATTTAATTTAACTCTTGGGGATTTGTGATACCTTCTTGGCTTTAACAGACCCTGGAAAGCATGGTGGGTATCACTTCTGTCCTTATGTGCTCCCTTGTAATTTTGACCCTCTGTTTGCCTTCTCTACTTTGGTTTCCTGGCCCGTGTGTTAGGGAAGAGCTGTACATCTTCTCTTTTTCATATCTGCAAGATTAACTGGAGGAAAGAATTAGAAGTTAGGGCTTCTGATTTCCTGTACCTGCATTGCTGGACAATTTCCTTGGTTATTGTAGGCCTCAGTTTTCTAATTGGATTGAAGAACCTAACTCTATCAGAAAGGAGTTTGGGGGGGGGGGCTTTTGGATTATAAATGGCTGGTTTCCCCTTCCTTAAATTTTTTAAAAGGAGTTTCCTTGTTAGACTTTACATTTTCCCTGACTATATTTGTGTCATTCTTCTCTCTTCATATAGAGGCACAGATAATATGAATTATTTATGGTCAGTGGTTATTGTCCCTGGGCATGTAAGGCCTGTGAAAAGTCATTATAGAAATGATTATGTGGGAGATAGGGACACATGTGTTTTGGTTCCCTCGAAGGGCTTAGGCGGTGAGATTCTTTTTTCCTTAGCTTTTTCTTGGTTCTCAGGTAACCAGTTCTCCCAACTGCACAGACATGAGTAATGTCTGCCAGCCAACAGAATTCATCTCTCGTCACAACACTGAGGGTATCTTTACTTTTGTGGACCATCGCTGCATAGCTACTGTGGGCTATCAGCCACAGGTGAGGTGCTCAGTACAAGACATAACTGACATTTTGGCTTTCTTTTTTGTCCCAACTTTGTATTAAGATTAGTCATATGTAACATCTGAAACAAGCAAAGGTAACCTGATACACACACACACACAGACACACACACACATCTGTTTACTGTTATTGTGATTAACGTTAATAATTGCTACTTTGTATTTACATACTGGTTTTCACTTTTCAAAACACTTTCACATCCTTGTTCTCATATTTATTATAGCTGTGATCATATACTCATATAGATTAATTCAGATTTATCAGATCACTCCTAGACGGCAAAAATTCACAAAATAGGAAATTAGATGCCAGTTTACAGTACTTACTAGAATCCTACATTCATCAGGTCAATTAAACTAAATCCATTGAGGGGTGGGGAACCTGCAGCCTCAAGGCCCTTATCCAAGTGAAAATAGCCTGAATATAAAATTCATAGCAATAGGGCCTGTGGAAAACATTCTAGTTCTTGCTTAGTAGAGATATCCTTAGTAGCTCAGAGAAAGGTCTGATGTTCTAGGAGTTCTTAACTTAGGGTCCTTCATGATTTTTTTGTATTTCATTTTATGCATTTAAGAATCATTCTGAGAATTCCTTGGGCTTCCTCAGATTTCCCATGGGTCCATGACAAAAATGTCAAGAATCCATCTTCTAGTATCATTAGAAACTTGGGGATCCATCCCTAAATCTAATGGGTTTAGGCTTTCCCTTTTCTCCCTGTTCCAGCAGAAGTGCTGATAAACAGGGCAGTTACCTAGGTAGAAGAGGAGGAGAAGGAAGTAAAAGCTCTGAGTAATACACTGGATAATCCATCCGAAAACACTTGTTGAGGATTTGGCCAAGTCCTCACATATAATTACACTGATTAACCTGAGGAGAAAAGAATAAAATGACTTTTCCTATTTGTATAAAGTGGGATCCTGAGAGGTAAGGGACTTTGCCCAAGAGCCACACGGAGTTAAGGATGGAACTGGAAATAAAAAATCAGGTTCCCAAATCCCAGATCAAGTTAAAGGGGAAAGGGTAGCAAAATGACTCTAAGGCTTTAGGTAAAGAGAGCCTTACTCTCCTTTCTTCAATTAGGAGCTATTGGGAAAAGATATTGTGGAATTTTGCCATCATGAAGACCAGCAGCTCCTAAGAGACAGTTTCCAACAGGTAATTCCTTTCATTCTGGCTTTCGATTCAGATTGGAATAGACTTTATTGCTGTGGCACTCATTCATTCATTCATTCATTCATTGAACAATTATTTATTGGGCCACCTACTTTGTGCAAGGCACTTATAATTTCACTTGTTCAGTGTACTCAGCTCAGACATTTGTGTTTATAAAGGAGAAGATTAGGATAAAATAATTTAAAATAACAGATTATCCCCATTTCATCTCTGCTTGGCTTTGGAATGGAGGGAGAGGCATACATATTTTTCTACCTGGATCTAATCTCAAAGAAGACTTTACTTGTTTTGGGTAGGATGATACATTTCTGATAATTCATTCATTGATATTCTGTTGTTCAGTCCTTTGTGACCCCATTTGTGGTTTTCTTGGCAGTTCATTTTACAGATAAAGAAACTAAGACAAACAAGTTTAAGTGATTTGCTCAGGGTTACACTGCTATTAAGTGTCCAAGGTAGGATTTGAACTCAGAAAGATGAGTCTTCCTTATTCCAGGTCTGGTGCTCTATCCACTGAACCATGTAACGACCCTTCATTGATATTCAGTTACTCTTAGTTGTTAGTTGACCAAAGTCCTAAAGATCTCTAATGAAGAGGGGAATGAGTGGAGGGGAGAATAATAGTTATCTACAAGTATTTGAAAGGTTCTCTCGTGGAAGAGAGTTTAGATTTGTTCTGCTTAGTTCCAGAGGGGCAGAAGTAGGAGTAATAAGTGGTGACCAAAAGGCAAATTTGGCCTGGATATAAAGAGCAGCTTGTTAACAATTAGTGCTGTCTGGAAATAGTGAGTCTTTCTTACTAGAAACTTTCAAGCTAAAGCTGGGTGCCTATCTGTCAGGTTTGTTGCAGAAGAGGTTAGTGGTACATATGGGTCAGACTAGGTAGCCTCTGAAGCTCCAGCTCTGAGTTTCTGTGATATGGAATGGATGAGACGTACAAGAGGTCATCTTTTGACTCTTTGGCTAGAAAAGATACACTTCCAATTGTTTTTTAAAGCAGAAAGTAAATCCAAAATTACCGTTGCTTTAGAGCAATTTTCCTTGCAAAACTTAACTGAATTTTTGACAGTTTTTGTCTCTCTGTTCTACAAACAGAAACACATTGGTATCAGAAGGTTAAAATCAACTAGCTTAATGTAAACCATGTCCAGGTTCCTAAGGCTCTCAGGTTTGGGATACCAGACCATCTACAAGGGCTAGGTTTCTTCTGTTGTTTCTTTTGGAGAGCTGATATGCTTTCCAAGGCTAAGTGGGCTTACCAAGGCCCTTTCCCTGCTTACCTTCGAAAGTATTTGCTTCCTTTTTTTGGCTCTAGACGTAATAATCTAGGAGTTTGGGGCCTTGCAGAGAAACACACTATGTTTATTTCCATATTTTCCAGCTACTTAGTGGTTCTGTCTTGAACAGGCAGAACATTGTAAAGTTGTGGAGGCTTTAGTCTGGCTATCCTCCCTTAAAGAAAATGACTTTGTTTTGTCCTCGTGCATGTGATTATGTTGGGAAACAAAGAGCTGAAAGCCAGAAAATACCTATACATCATTATTAGTTGTGTAATCTGTATGCATAGGCCCTCAAGAGTTCATTTAGCTTAGCCCCTCATGTTCTCAAGGCACACTAAATCTTCAGTGTTGGTGTTTAAGGCTTTAGGCTAGACTCATTAATTCATCAGAACTGAAGGCCCCTGTGTGCAGAGCACTGCCCTTTCGTGAGTGTCTAGTCTAACGGGAATGTAGCACGCATGCAAACACCTCACAGACTTAAGAACACTGACGCAGCACTGTCTTAGGTTTGTTCCCTTCCCTGCACTCATCGGCCCTCATCCTCCCCCATCACCACTTTGCCTAGATTACTGCAGCAGCCTCATGGTGGGATGCGTGGCTCCCCAGTCCTCCCTTCTCTAGCCGTCCTCCACACAGCTGCCAACATCATCTTGAAGCACAGGTCACCCCCCTGCTCATGAGCCTTCAGTGGCTTCCACGACCAAGGGGAAGCTCGCCAAGCTCTTTGTCGTCTGGCTCCAGCCTGCCTTTCTAGCCTTCTTTCACACTCTTATGTTCTGGTCAGACTGCCTTCCTTGCTATTTCCTGAAACAGCATTCCATCTCTGCTTCTCTGCTTGCACATGTGCTGGCCCCTGTTCCTGGTATCTCCTCCATCCCCACCGGGAGGCTTTCTGTAGGAGGTGGCGGATTCTAAAGCGAATCTTTAACTTCTTCCAACACTCGGCCCAGATGCCATCTCCTGCAGGAAGCCTTTCCTGATCTCCTACTTGTTGCTGCCCTCTCCTTTCTCATAGTAGGTATATACCTGTTTGTTTATATGTTCTATCACCCTTATGCAATGTAAATTCCTGGAGGGCAGGGATTTTTTTTATAATGTGTATCCCCAACATTGAGAATGGTGCCTTGCACATAGTAGGCACTTGATAAATGCTTATTGAGCTGGATTATAATATTCGCAGTGCAGATTAATACAGACAGGGCCTGGTATATCTAGAACAGAAGTGGGACTGGGTTTGGGGCTATGGGGCAGTGTGTTTGTTCAGCCCATTTTCTTTGGTTGGGGTCCCACTGACACGATAAAAACTCTTCCAGGTGGTGAAATTAAAAGGCCAGGTTCTGTCTGTCATGTTCCGGTTCCGGTCCAAGAACCATGAGTGGCTCTGGATGAGAACCAGCTCCTTTACCTTCCAGAACCCCTACTCAGATGAGATTGAGTACATCATCTGTACCAACACCAGCGTGAAGTAGGTACCACCGAGGGCATTTCTGGTGCACCTGGCCCCTCCAGATTAACCCAGGGCTAAGCCCTCCCCCTCCTTTTCTCCTCCCTCCCTCCTACCCCAAGCAATATTGAAGAACACTCAACTTTGAATCTTCACCTTTCTGTTCTCTGCAGTATTTGGGGCCATTGGGTGAGACAGGAAGTCTGGATTTATTTCAGTTAGAGGGAGCTTTAACAGAACATGGCATGTTTCACTGTCTTTCTCTGATACTTTGTTTTGGCCAGGGAGTCAAAATGTGGAAATAGGAAAAATGAACAGTTTCTCTTTCTGCTGTTACCTATAGTCATAATTCCAGTTACAGGCACTGAAGAGGAGGATACTTATCTCAATTTTATTTTTCAGTTATTTCTAGGAATGATTCTTTTTCTTTTTAATCACTTTGACTGCCTCACTCTCCTTCCTGCATCACCTACCCCAGACCCTATTTTCACGTACACTTCCCCCAGACCAGACTAGTCCTGTCTCACCAGTCTTTGATTCCTTCCTTCCATCTTGTCTTCTTTTCCTTAGGTTCTTTTTTCTTCTAACTTGCCTGCTTTTCTTTTTCCGTCTAATCTACCTCTTTGGCCTCACCTTTAAGGCTAGATTGAGTAATAAACCAGCATTGTAAATACTAATCTGAGATCAGGGTCAGCTAATCCAAGGATTTATGAAGGAAAGTTAAATAATTTCTAATCCACTTTGTGTAACCAAGGACAGATGAACCCTGAGGTGCTTCCCTTCTTCCTTCGCTTGACTTTACTGACTTGGAATCACTGGAGTCAAGGTTACTACGGTTTGCTCTGTGTTTCCATGGGTAACATTACACAGGTATTGGTGACTGGTTCCAGAAAGATCCAGGTGCCTGGAACTATGGCTTTTCTCACCTTTCTTTCCTCCTTAAATTTATAATCTTTTGGGGGGGCATGTTTTGCCATTTCTTTCTGGTGCCTTTATTTTTGGCCGGGGAGTTAGACTATGTGACTAAGAGATGCGGATATAGTTTCTCCTTCTGCTGATGCCTCAACATCACACCAGTTACAGAGATGACACTTTTGGTAGGGGCATGAGGGTAAGTGCTGGAATATAATTTTTAGGGATTCATTTCTCATTGCAGAGGGAGAGGCTTGCTATGCACCCTGGGCAGGGGCAAGGAGTCAGGTGCTTGCATTGCTTCCAGGCACATAATAAATGCATGTTGTCTTGGTTTGACAATAATGGGGACAGCAGTAGCAGAGAAAGTCTCAGTGTTTGAGTTCAGTTCACTAAACAGTTAACAGCTGAAATTTATGAAGCATATGTTATTTCATTTGATCCTTACAGCAGGCTAGTGAATCAGGTACTGTAGGTTTTCCTTAATTTATAGATGAGGAAACTAAATTCAGAGGGGTTAGAGGACTTGTTGATGGTCACACAACTATTAAATCTCAGTGATGGAATTCAAACTGAGGTCTCTTCAGACCCGTAAGGCCAGTACTACCTTCTGCTCCTGCTGTGGCATACTCCGGTTTTGGCAGCGTGACTCCTGTGGGTTTGCTTCCAGTCTTCATACTCCCATTATCTATAGCCAGAGGCTGTTGTTAGTGATGGATCTAGGTGGGAGAGAAACTGTTCTGTAGAAATTTTGAACAGTGAAGAGATGGGTGATCACCATCCTGGGTGTCAAACCAGTTGCTGTGGAGTAGCAGATGAATCACTTTTACTCTTCCCTAGTAGACACTTACACAGTGACAGCATTTATAGCATTTGTCTCAAGTTTTAGATGTTTTTTGGGGGGTTTTTTGGTGAGGCAGTCGGGGTTAAGTGACTTGCCCAGGGTCACACAGCTAATAAGTTTTCAAGTGTCTAAGGCTGGATTTGAACTCGGGTCCTCCTGACTCTGTGGCAGGAGCTTTATCTGCTGTGCTACCTAGCTGCCCCTAGTTGTTTCTTCTTAGCAGGTGACTTTACCTGGCTCAGTATTGTCTTCTCCTCCCTCCTCTCGTGTTTATGTGTAGTAGTATATCTGTAGATTCACCATTCTGGCCCAAATGGTTTTTCAAACCTCAACTGTTTTCTATCCATGTTCTTCTCCCGCCAGTCTGTTTTGGTGGCCGCTTTGAAGGGTATTATAGACCTACCGTATTTTGGTGTATGTGCCAATTGACAAATCATCCATGGGAGTAGAGTGGAGGAGAATGTCAAGAAGAATTAACCCCATAGAATAAACAAGATTTTTGGCCTTTGTGAAATTCTGGAGTCTTTTGTTCCTTAGTTTTCGATTTAGTGTGAGAAGAATCTCTTGAGGACAGTGTTCCACTGACCAGGCATAGAGTAGATTTCATGCAGCAAGTTCTACTTCTAGACTGGAATAAAGAAACATTTTTGTTTATACTGGAGGTAGGGAGCACAGTCAGGTACTTAGTGTCGTCAAGATCATACAGGTTTGTCCTGCCCATCATTGAAGTTGAACAAGATGTGAACTAATAGTGTCTCATTTTTAATCTGTTATTGAACAGGAATAAAAAGTCCATTAGTCCAGGGTTAAAGGTTTCTGAGAACTATCTTACAGGAGACTTTCTTAATATCACATCCAATCTACCCTTGGGCTTTGGACAAAGAAAAATATGGATACAAAAAGGAAATCCAGTGTTTCACGTCCTTCTGCATTGTAGGGCTCAGAAAACAGCAAGAATGGGAAAGGCAGGAAATTGAGTGCAGGGGCTGATGGCATTATCTTAGGTATTTAGTTAACATGCTACAGAAAAGACAATGGTTCCTTGCTTCAAAGAGCTTACTTAGGAGAGAGAATTGAGACACACGAAGTCAACAGAAAATTTTCTAACAAAGCACTGAAAGGAAAAAGGGTTAGGCAGGTATTTATTGGCTGTAAAGCTGTGTGTTGTGTTCTTGTTTGTCCATGTGATTTCTGTGTTGCCCCATCTGTGGGTAAAGTCCATCAGTAGGAACAGGCATCTGATAGGTATTTTCACTAAATAATTAACATACAGAGATTTATGAGCAAACATAGATTTCTCTCTCTCTTTTTCTATCCCTTTACCTACCCCTTCTCTACCACAAAATATTTTCCAGGAACTCCAACCAAGAGCAACGACCCACACTGTCCAACTCAATCCAGAGGCCGCAGCTGGGCCCTGCAGCTAATCTGCCCCTGGAGATGGGCTCCGGGGCAGCTGGCACCCAGGTGAATGGCGAGGATAATTGGGTGAATAGACTTGTGACCATTTCAGGGTCTTAGTTTCTTCATATTTCAAATGGGGGAGGTTGGTCTGGTTCTAGGCCTCAGTTTCTAGGGTCTTTAGACCATTTGTTTTTCATTTGGTCTCTTTTGCTCTGTAGGCAGCAACAGCAAACAGAGCTTGATGTGGTATCTGGAAGAGATGGATTGGCCAGCTATAATCATTCGCAGGTAAGTTGGTCAATGGGCAGTTGGTCGCTTCCACCAAGAAGGTGCAGAGGGAGCAGCAGGCAGTCATTAGATACTGTTTCTTTTGTACTTCTGGTCTAGGGACAGAAGTCTTTGCTGCATAGTTAGTGAGGGCCAGGAATTCTGGTTGGAGTTGCTGAGATCATCATTAGAAGAACTTGGGGCATAGATTTAGAGGTGGGTTTTGTTTCCTAAGATTCTTGTTTTTATAGTGTATATACGGTTTCATTATATTCCAACCTTCCACAAATATCCCTGTTAATTACAGATGATCTAGTTGTGGCTGTTTTCCTTTTCTATGCCATAGCCTTCCTTAAAGGACTCTTGAGCCTGAAATGAGTTCCCTCTTCTCCTCTCCCTCTTAGAATCCTTAGCTTCCTTCCTGACTCAACTCAGTTACCATTTGCTGTGGGAAGCCTTTTCTGACACTCCCAACTGGCTAGTGCTTTCTCCCACTTCAAATTAGACTATATTAATTGTCTTTTTGAATCATGTATCCCTCTGTAGGCTAGATAAGCAACTTGAGGGGGTAGCAGCTGTTTTTCTTTGTATCCTAGCATAGTCTCTTGCACATAGTAGGGGCTTTAGTAAATGCTTGTTGAATTTAATTGGATTAGTCACAGTTTTCTCTCTTTACACATAATTTATAAGACTGAGCCCCCTTCAATGGATTTTGTTTTGTTTGGGCCAGACCTCTCTTAATAATGTATTCACTTATTCAACAAATATTTTTTGAGCACCATATACAAGACATTATTTTTCCAAATTTTCTTTTTTTGTTATGAATCTGACAAATATTAACAAACATGAACATTTCAGTGTACAAAGAACAGAAAAAAGAGGTTTGTATATGAAATTGTGTATATGAAATCTTTTTTGCATATAGACTTCCTTTTTTTTAGAAGTATATATTAAATTTAACAGTAGTACTAGCAATATTTTTACAGGACATTGTGCTAGGGACCGATGGAGATATAAAGATGAACTAGTTTCTTGAGAGATTTGTAGGGGAGACTAGTAGGGGACGTGTGACATTTATGCACAATACTGCATTAGCTAGTAGAGTATGGTTAAATGTATTAATAGAGATACTGAATACCTATGCAAGTTCAAAGGAGGGAGATAAAGTCATCTTTGACTGAGGGGATAAGGGAAGAGAAGGTAGCATTTGGGTTGGGCCTAGAAGAAGATGAGATAAAATTTTTTAACAGATGAAGTTAGGAAGGGAGGGCAGTACCTAGACAAAGGGGATGGTATATACAAAGCAGGAAGGGGGAAAATGGCAGCAGTGAATAGGGGCAGGAAGTCCTCCAGTTTGACCGGGAAGGTCCCGGAGCTAGATTGTAGGGGCTTTCAATGTTTTGGCCAAGGAATCTGGATTTTATTTGATGTTTAACAGAACCATTGAAGAGTTTTTAACAAAAGAGTAATGTAAGTTTGAACTGTGCATTATGAAGATTAATGTGGCAGGAGTACATAGCATGAATTAGAGCAGTGAAAGTTATTACAAGATAAGTGTAATGAGGGTCTGAATTTGGAATCCATGTGCTGGTTTCAAGTTTGGGTGGAGGTGTGGGACAGGCTGGCCATGATGAGGGATCAGACCTCTACAGACTTTTTAATCTGGGGCCTGGTTATTCAGCAATCACACTGAGGATGCCCTACACTAAACACTTTAGGAGGATACCTAGAAAAGATAAAAATGTAGTTTATTGGAAGTGTTTATAGCCTCATAGGGAGAGACTGGACAATTATACTACATGTAAGGAAAATATAGCAAAAAGTATTAATACAGATGTAAGAAATGTATACAGTAAAAACATCCTAGGAAGCATTAGAATGATTGGATAGGTAGAGTTCAGAAAAATTTCATAGATTTGAAGTAGAACTTGAAAAGTGTTAAGAGTAGAAGTACATAACTTGGCATAGAGAAATGAGAACATTTGGAAGAAAGAGAGTTCATGGCATCAGTGGACAAGAAATAGAACAAGTCCTGGGCTAGCCACAGGGAGCCAGCCTGGGGAACTGGAGGGTTCGAGTGGGCACACATGTTAGAGGGGCCTTGAAACTCAGTTCTGAAGAATTGAGACTTTATGACTGTTCTAATTCTTTAGATGAATGACTGAGGAGATGATGATGAATGAGGAGAGTTCATCGGACAGACTAGGAAAACAAAGACATTTTGGAATTTATTATCTTGTCTGAATTCCTGTCAGTGTCTGGGGCCTTCCCTCATATCATGCTAATTATTAATTCTGAACATTAAGGGTATTTAGGTTCCCATCTTAAAGAATATCATACTAGTTAGATTAAAGGACCCTGAAATAAGGCAGTCTCAGGTAGAATTCACATCTCTGTCTCCTTACTTTCCCTAGGTCTCTGTCCAGCCTGGGTCAGCCACAGGTCCAGAGCACAGCAAGTCCCTGGAGAAGTCCGACAGCCTTTTTGGTCAGGATAGAGACCCAAGGTTTGCTGAGATCTACCCCAACATTAGTTCAGGTATATTCCCCTTTTCTCTTTTCTAGTCCCTTCAATTGGAAACCAGTGTGGCATAGTGGAGAGAAGAAAACTGGGTTTTACTTTGGTGAACCATCTCTGAGCTCTACTAGCTTGGTGACCCTGGACATGTCACTGAATGTCCCCAGTACATTAGGCAGCCCTGTGAGACTCAGACTTGCAGAGTCTTCTGCCAGTGAACTCATAGGTCTGTTGTTAGAGCTCTTGTCACTTTTGAATTACCTTGTATTTACTGATCTCCATAAGCTTCTTGAAGGCAGAAGCTGTTGCATTTGAATTCCCATTGATTAGCAGCTCAGTGACTTACATAGAATAAACACTTAGGTTTTCTCTCCCTCCTCCCCTTCCTCCCCAGCAAGATTCCAGCTTGGTTTCTCGTTGGATCCAGGTCTAGGCAGTTGCAGTCTTCTTTCCCATCACCCCCTTGTGACTTTGGACGATGTGTTGAACTTGGCAGTACAGATGCCTGAGTCACCTTACCCTGTCACCCCTCCTTTTCTTAGATCAGAGTAAAGGCATCACGAGCAGCACTGTCCCAGCTAACCAGCAGCTCTTCTCCCAGGGCAGTACGTTCCCCACAGTCCCCAGAACAGCAGAGAACTTCAGGTGAGTCCTTTTGGTTTGGGCCAGTAGTCCGGGGGGGGGGGTTAGGAAGGTGTTGATGAAGATTCTGCTTACAAAGACAGGATTTCTCTTTCTCCAGCTTTACTACTAGACTCAGGCAAACAAGGGTGCTTATACTGCCCCAGTGCAAGGTCCCATCCCTTGCGCTGGCTTTACAGCCATGCTCTCCCTGTGCTCGTGTGTATCCTTTGTGTGTCCTGTGCACTCTGCCTCTCTCTTTTTTCTAAATTCTGTCATATTTTCTATAGCACAAAGAGAAACCAAGAGGAGAGGCCCAAGGATAATGATGATACATGCTTTATTTCTCAGGTTTCCTTATTGTTCCACCTTTCTACTCCCTTATTTTCTTCTAGAAACAACAGCTTGGTTCCTCCTGGGACCATTGTGCAACCACCAGCTTCTGCAGGACAGATGTTGGCCCAGATCTCCCGCCACTCCAACCCCACACAGGGCACAGCTCCTGCCTGGAACCCTAGCACCCGTCCTGGCTTTGTTGCCCAGGTACAGCCCTTGTCACACCTTTACTCCACATGATGAATTTTTTTTTTCATTGGTAAAATAGGAAAACTTCCCTGGGCCCCCTTGAATAATACTTTCCCCGTTCAGTTTCTAAGGCTACGTAGAGATTCCATAGTGAAAATCCATAACTAGTCCACACATCTTTAAGCCCCATTCTTCATTATGTTTTTCAGCTCCCTTCCTCAAATCAGAGTTGTACAAAGAATATTGTGAATAGGTTTGTCTTTTAATTCCACATATGTATCTTCTGAGGGAGATGCAAAGGAGTTAGTAATATAAGTAATGAACTCAGAGTCAGGAATTCTATCTCTGACACTTAAAAGCAGTGTGTCTGTGGGCGAGGGCCTCAATCTATCTGAGCCTCTCTTCCTCTTCCTCCTCCCAGCAGGGATAATAATAGTGCTATGGTACAAGGCTCCAATGAGATAATATATGTGGAGGGCTTCAGGAGGCAGCCTGCTGGAGAGCACACCTGCACTCTGCATCTGTACAGACACCCGACACTTGCAGTGTGTAATGTGCCCTCCTTTGGGGCAAGGGCCAGATCCCTTTTGTGTCTGTATCCCCAGCACTTAGTACAGCCTCCAGCTTAATGCACTTAATGCTTGTTAATTCATTAATTTTATGTGGAATGCTGAGCTACATGCTTTTGGAGGGTAGATAGGTAATGGAGGATTCTGTTCTTGCCCTAGAGAACTCCTCTAGGAGTTCTTAATAGAGATAGTAGAACACAGACCACAGCTAAAAAAGCTAGCTGTTTGCAGAAAGCCCCCTACCACCTATACAAATGCATGTTTGAGACAGTAGAGTAGAGAGTTAATTAGCACTTCCTCAAAGGGAGATGAAAGGATGAACTGGCTTTTTGGGGAAGGGAGAGGTTTTCCTAGGGAGAAGATCAGTGGTGCTTCTACTCTGCTCTGCTCATGTCCTGTCTGTGTAGCAGGTGGCCCCCCCTCCCGCATCCAAGACTCGGTCCCCTCAGTTTGCTGTCGGTAGCTTCCAAACACCGTCTTCCTTCGGCCCCATGTCTCTCGCTGGGGCCCCCACTGCATCGCCAGGTGCTGCTGCCTACCCCGGCCTCGCCAGCCGGGGCTCTAGCTTTGGTGAGTCCCTTGTGGAGAGGGGAGGTCATAAGGGGAACAGCAAGCGCTAGTTAGGTCATGCTGGCCTCAGCTGTGTGTGGTGGGGGGAGGGGGGGTGTGGCGTCCAGCCTTTGAAGAGGCAGCTGGTGTCATTGACAGAGTCTGGGGGGTGGAGTATGTCGAGACCTACTAGTCAGGCTGCTAGGGGCACCAGAGGGCCCAGAGTGCCAGACCTGGAGGCAGAAGACCTGAATTCAAATGCAGCTGCAGACACTAGCTGTGGGACCTTGGGCAAGTCCTTGAATCTCTGTTTCCTCATCTGCAAAATAGGTGTAATAATAGCACCTATGTCCCAAGGTGATTGTGAGGATCAAATGAGATCATGTTTGGAAAGCACTTAGCACAGTGCCTGGCACGTAGTAGGTGCTATGTAAATGCTTCTTCCTTTCCCCTCACCAGTTGTGCGACTGAGGCTTGGTGAAGTTAAGCAATTTACTTGAGTTTCCTTGTCTGTAAACCAAGGCTGATTGTATGTGTAGTCCCCGTCTCAGGATTGTGAAGGGGATCAAACAAGGTCATATATAAGTAGAGCACTTGGTAAACCTTGAAGTGTTCTATAAGTACCAGTTACTATTATTAATACAGAGTACATGAAGAAATTCCACTATGTTCTAATATGTGAGGGCAAATATTTGTCAGGCAAGACAGTCACAGCTCTCAAAATACAGTGGCCGAGTTCCGGGGGGTTACCCTTCAACTTTGTCAGGGGAGCACTGGGACTGGCCCGGTCACTAAAGGATGGCATTTCCCCAGCCACAGAGGGCGGACAGCCCACGGGACAGTTTCAGGCCCGCACAACAGACGGAGTGAATGTGTGGCCGCAGTGGCCACAGGGGCAGCAGGCCCACCACCGATCTGGCGCGGGGGAACAGCACGTGCAGCCACCGCCACAGCAGCCCAGCCAGCCGGAAGTCTTCCAGGTGAGGGGCTCCAGGAGACAGGGAGGAAACTGCAGAGAAGTGGGCTGAGCCGAGGTGCCGGGGAGGGGGACGAACGTAGGAGCATCGTGATTCTGAAAGATGACCACTGGATGCTGTGTCACCCTTGACTCAGTCGGCCAGCCACCTGTTTACTAAGCAGCATGGGAGGAGAAAGGGAAAGGGTGTGGCTCCTAATAAGAGGAAGCCAGTCTCTGTCTTTGGGCTGTTGAGGACGTATACCACCCAACGAGCAAATAAAAGCATGCTTAGAGAAGTGTAGCACTAATAATAACTGTACAGAGCCCTGCACAGAAATGCGAATGGAGAGTGGAACCAGGGGACATAGGGAAGGAGAAGGCTTTGTTAAGCAAAGATTGCCAGAAGAAAGGAATGTTTGATACAAAGGGATAGGGTTAAAGCTACTTCAGATTCGTATCTAAGAACAGAGCAGTGCTGTAGGGGAGGGAAATAATTTTTTCTTCCTCTTCTATTAAGAACTAAATAAGAGGGAAGAAAATAAAATTACAACAGGAGGGATTGGGATTAGGGAATTGGGGGCAGAACTAGCTCTTGAGGACAAAATTCATTTATGTGGGGCCTATTGATGCTAGCATGAGTACAGTGAGAAATTGCTTCTTGGATGTAAGGGACTGGTTTTTAATACCAATTTTATTCTTTTTTCTCATTAGGAGATGCTGTCTATGCTGGGAGACCAGGGTAACACCTATAACAATGAAGAATTTCCTGACTTAGCCATTTTCCCTTCTTTTTCAGAATAGAACTGTTGGGGTGAGGATTAGGGGGTGGGGGAGAGAAATCACTTTTTGTTTTTAAAAAAAACAAATTTTTCTGTAAACTGAATAAAGATACTCTCCCTTCCCCTCCCTCACCCCCAAAATCCACCTCATGCCCCCAGTGTTCCCTATCTCCACTCACTTCCCTCCCCCTGTCCCCGGTAGAATGGTCAGAATTAATGGAATGGATCATCAAGGCTCTTGAGAACTTTGAAAACTGAGACCAGATGGACTGGGGGATCTTTTCCCTTTTTCTCCTGACCAGAGCTTTGTGCAGAGATGAAGCTTGGAGTGTTCCAGGCTGGAAGATACTACACAGAGACCTCCAGGTCCAGCTGCAGAGTGTTTGATAATCACCTTGGATGCAGAGACTTTTTTTGGACAAACTCTGAATTGGATCAGGGAGGAGGGATGGGGAAAAGGAGTATCTCTGTGTATAGGCCCAAGAAAGAGCAGGCACATGGCTTTAGGAGTGGATACAGATAGTTTGTATTGTGTGTAATTCCTCTAGAAAGAAACATGAGAGAGAGAGAGTGTGTGTGTATGTCTGTGTGTGTGTCTCTTTCTTCTGTGGCGGGGGATTGTGCAAACTCTGGTCCCTGATTCTGTGTGTGTGCGTGTGTGTGTGTGTGTGTGTGTGTGTTTCAGAACAAGTCCTAAAGTGTTAATTCCAGGTATTTTCTGCTCCATATTGCAGCCAAAGTGTATTTAGATTAACTTCTTTGCTGTGTTCACATCTATGCCCAGCCAGTGTGATCAGTTGTGTAGGAGTGTTTTGTGTGGGCACCTTCTCATTGAACATTGTCAGTGACAAAACTGGGTCATTCTCATTGTTGGCGGTGCTTCTCATTTGGAGAGAACTTCAAGACATGGAAAGTGGGCTCAGGTGCTAAACTTTTTTAAGAAACCCTAGACTCATGGCCATAAGGACTACAATGCATTTTCTGTCAGAATTATACACTGTACAAGCACTGTGGAGAAAATAACCCCATGGAAACTCAACTTCTTGGTTTGACAGCCCCAGTAAGAGGCCTTTATCTACACTGGGCTATACACCTTGATACCAACTTCATCTCAGAAATAAGTTTTTTTTCAATCCAGCCAGACCTAAACAGAAAAAAGGTGACATTTTTCCTTGTTACTAGCACACAGATGGAAAATGGGTCTATAATACTACCCTTTGTTTTCCTCCTAGCCTTTAGAGTCAAGTTGGATCTCTTAAAATTTTTTGCTAGGTGTATAAAGGGTCAAATGGGTATAAATATAATAATACTATATGGCAGATGGGTTGGAACCCCTATCAAACAGGGCTTCTCAGCAATTAACATAATCGTCTGACTAAGGATATAGGCTACTACTATGGCTTTTGAGCCTTTGGTCACAAACAGTGGAGTGACAGTTTTTTTTTTCTATTGGCTCAGGCCAGTTTTTAATTACAAGGCTGAGTTATTAAGGGCAAGATGTTTTTAATGTAGTTATAGGTGTCTTGAAAACAGAGATAACCTTGGGGAGGTTAGAGGGGAATGTCATATTGACTTGGCCTCTCCTGTCCCCTTCCTTTCACCCTGGTACCAGATAGCAAAAGGACAGGGAGAAGTAGATGTTTTATTTTTTAAAAATCTATGTGCATACACACAGCATACATGCATTTATATATATATATATATATATATATATATATATATATATATATATATATATATATATATATATATATATGCATATATATTATATTATATTATATTATATTATATTATATATTTATATCACAATTTAAGAAGCCAAAAAGTTGAGTTTCCATTTGAATCTGTCTTTTGATAATCAATTATTTTTAAATGTGATTAGGACTCTAACATTGTACAGTTATTGTAGGGTGTCGGGAGGGAGGGAGAAAAGACTCTGAGGGTTTTGTTCCTACTCTTCCTTCAGGGTTTTATTTTCAGTTGTGTTTATTTTTCTTGTTGGCCATACTTTGTTACTTGGCACCCATGTCAAGTCTCATGGTGGCACAAATGATGTCATTATGTAGCAGAGATTTTAAAGCAAAGATATTTTTTTCCTTTTTAAAAACCCTTGTGTCGTTTAGTCTTGATTGTGACCATAATGATCCCTGCCCAGGTTTCTTACATAATGCTTCCTGCCAAGGCTGTAAGACAGAAAAACACAAATGTGCTATGTGACACAGAATGCCCTACATATACTAAGACACCAAAGATAAGAAACACACTATTCCCTAAATGAGCTGCTTATATGGCATATATTTAAAAAAAACAACGAACTGCAGGGCTGTCATCACTCATCTGCCTTTTGATTTTGCTAACTTTGAGGGAGGGGAGGGAAGGATGCCTTTATATATAAGAAAGAGTTCCAAGGAAGAGAGCTCCAGATCCTGCCTCTGTCCCAAAATATCTTTATTCTCTAATGAAAAGAAAGTAGGTATTGGGAGAGAGTCTACTTAGGGTTGTTCTTGGTTTCCTTCTGGGACCGTCTGCTCTGTCTAGCATGGGCTGATGCAACTGGAATAGTTTGAACTGTAGGGGAATGTAGGAATAGAATCCAGCTGTCTTGGGGAAAAGCAGCCAAATATGTTTTATCTTGCTGGAATCATCCTTTTTCCTTCTCCTGTGTCATCTGTTTTTGGGGGGGGGCGTTGGGGCTGAGGCATACTCTTGTGATCTGTCACATGCTGGGTAGGGTGGGGGAATGGTCTGGAAGGGCTCATATGACTGGCATATAATAATCATCACACAATACCCATCCCTACATCCAGGACTTTTAAAAAAGGGAAATCCATTCTCCCTTCCCCTTCCCCATGGTCTCATTAGTGCTTCTGGCATTGATTTATGTGTTGTCATTATTGGAAATACTATTTCTGATTCAATTATTTTGCAGCTGACTAGTCTCCTAAGTAATAGATAATTTCTTTTCCTTGGGAAAAAAAGTTCTATATAGGAAAGATACTATCTGGTCTGGGGTCAGAGGTAGAGACATAATGACTTGGTGAATAACTTCTAAGAGGCAGGAAGTTTGGTAACCTGACTCCATAAAGTTGCTGAATTTTGGATTTTTAAGAGTTTGACAAAATGGATTGAGGACTGGCCTTGGAATCAGGAAGATTCCAAGGGTTCACCTGCTTCTGTCACATACTAACTGAGTGTAGCCATGAGCAGTTATTCAGCTTCTCAGAGCCCCAGAGAGTTCCTGATGTGCACCCCTGGGAGGAGTTTGCTACATTGATGATAGCCCAGATTTAAATCTATACGTTGAATGATAAGCTAGAACTCAAAACATTTATCAGGTGCTTTAAAGTTTATGAAGCACTTTTATATATATTTTATTGTTTGATTCTTATAATAGTGCTTCGATTGAGATAGGTGATCTTATTTTACTGATGAGGAAATGGGTTGAGAGAGGTTCAGTTATTTGCTTTGGGTCACACACAGGGTCTGGGACTTTTTTTTGGGTGGGGAGGGGTCTGGTTTTGAACATGATTCTTCCTGACTCCCAAATTCTTGTACAAGGTGTTGGAGGAGAGAGAAGGTGAGCTGCCTTCAAGAAGCTTTAAATTTAGAAGAAAGAGTTGTCAATCCATCAACATGTACTTAGTAAGCGCCTACTATGTGCCAAGCCCTGTTAACAGAGGTACAAGGCAAAAATTAGTCTATCCTCGAAGAGCTTACATTCATATATGTGTGTGTGTGTGTGTATATATATATATATATATATATATATATGTATGTATGTATGCAGTCATTCAGTCATTAACCACTTGAATGCCTACTATGTGCTACCTTGGGGATACAGAAAAGTCAAAGGACAATCCCTACTGGAGTTCACATTCTAATGGGGCACATAGGCAAGTATGTCCATACATGTGTATACATATGGGTATGTACTGAACTTGATGCAAGTATGTGTGTGTATACGCACATTACACACACGTACGTAGATACATACACATATATCTATCTACATAGACACTGGTCAGGAGAACCAGATGGGAGCAGAGGTAAGCAGCCAAGGAAGGAGGAAGAAGTGCTCATTTCTTAACTGATGTGTCAGCTATGTTAAATGCTTTAGGTAAAGAGGGATGATGATGATTGTAAGGCAAGTTGAGAGATTGATAATCTTGAGAGAGCACAGTTTGGTAAAGCTGGAAACAGAAGGCAGATTGCCAAGGATAGAGAAGTGTAGACCGCTCTTTCAGGAAGTTTAGTAGTGAAAGGAAGGAGAGAGAACAGTGCTTTGAAGTCTTCCTCAGGGTCAAAATGGGGGATCTTTTTTTTAGTTGGATTTATTTGTTCAATCGTTTCAGTTGTGTCTGACTCTGTGCTCCATTTGGGGTTTTCTTGAAAAAGAGATTGGAGTGCTTTGCCAGCTCATTTGATTGATGAGGAACTGAGGCAAATGGGGACTTGTCCACCACTAACAAGAATCTGAGGTCAGATTTGAATCCGGGAAGGTGACTCTATCTGGCACTCTATCCACTTCCGTCACCTAACTGCCCTTTTTTTAAGGGGATGGATACAAGTAATTAATGGAGAAGAAAATTATTGAAGTTAGAGAAGAGCTTATAAATTATTTTGTCCAGTCACCTCTTTTTACATACACACAATGAAACACACCCAGAGAAGTGAAATAATTTATGTAAGGTCAAACTGCTAGTTAGCAGAAGAGGCAGGTCTAGAATCTGGTTTTGAATGGTAAGTTTCCCCCTAAAATCCCTCAGGGTCCAGAAGAAGATGCAATAAAGGGCACAGGTAGGGTGAGGGGTTACTTTATTCAGGTGCATTAATTCTTCCTCTGAGACTTAAAAAAAAAAGTTGAGACATCTAAGAATGGGAGAAGTAGAATGGCCTCTAAAATAGGAGTGAAGGTCATCTGATAATTTCAGTGTTGTAAGACATTGCTAATCTGTATTATAGACTAGAAGGAACATTGATGTGTGAGTATGTGTGTGTGTTTTAAAGGAAATAGTACCCCAAATGATGGGTGAATATGTATGTGTGTGGAAAATTAGTTTGGTGGGACTAGGGAGGCCAAAGTAGTAGCCCACAGTCAGGCCCCCTCTCATCCAGAGGGAGACAGGCAGAGGAAACAAAACTTGGAAGGATCATGGGTTGGGGCTGAATAGCGGAGCTTCCAAGAAGTGTTTTCTGTGTGCCACAAAGTCATGTGAAACTCAACAACCAGCAACTATTGCTCCCTGTCGATCTGCAAATCTGTTCTCCTCCTCTTCTCCCTTTTGGTTTCCTTCCACACTGCCCCCTCTTCCCCCCTCCTCCTGCCTGCCAGTCCAGATTTTCCAGCCGGCTGCTGGAGCCGACTTCCTCAAACTTTTTGGAATAAAACTAGCATCCATAACTGTCCACTCTGATACGTGCCTGTGCCTTCCTCTCCAGATCAGAGAACAGACTAATATCAGGTAAGGCTGTGCTGCTTCCTCTACCCCAGCCCGTCAGCTTTTCACCCTTGCCCGTTCGCTTCTTTAGGGAAAGTCAGAGGATACTACAATGTGGATGAGAGGCTTCTAGGGATCATTTTGTTGCCGCATAGATGTTTCTTGCTTGGAAATCAGCAGTGTATACTGCGAATGGTCTTTGTCCTATAGTAATGATAAGGGCAGAGGGTTTAGGGGCCTCTCTCCCACCCACTGGAGTTCCCCCAAGGCTCTGCTTGTGGATGTCTGCCTGATTTCAAGAGAGGATAGGCAACGGAGGGATTAAGAGAGTTTAGAACTTGCGGTACAAATGGTGAATAGTGGGAGTCAAATCCTACAGTACTGAAGAAGTGGAGGGAGAGGTGTTAAGGCCATGCCATCTTTCTAAGATCTCTGGGCCTCTTGTGCAGAGGAGACTCTCAAGATTGGCCCTTAATACTTAAGGTATAATCATGAAAAGGGTTGAAGACACGATCAGAATGGCCCTCAGCAGTCTAAGCTTACTCAAAATTGTTAGTACATAGGATCGTGATGCCATATGGCATGTTATTCTGAATAATTGCTTCTGTGAAGGAGGCTTTAAACCACAGCAGAAGAAAGATTAGAGTGAGTCTCTGGGGGAGTGGGTACTTGACCTTCAGTGGCTGCCTGATTTCCAACGTGATCTTCGTGCTTGATTCTCTTGGGATGTGGCAACAGGGCTTCTGACAGTGGAAAAGAAAGAGAAATCTTTTTGACCACAGCAGCTGGTTGATATTAGAGCAGTTTCCTGCGAAAGGAGGGAGAAGAGAAACGGCAGTAGAGTTGGGAGTAGAGGAGGGGGCAGGATGTTGGAGGGGAGTCAGGGAGAGGGAGATAGAAATAAGTAAGGAGAATGAGAGGCAGAGAAAGCTAGACAGATTGATTGGGACAGGGAGGAAAATCCTTCCAATTAGCAAATTTTGGCTCAGCAGTCCAGTATATGTCTAAGAAATTAGGAAGGGTTCTTTTTGAAAGGAAAGTAGGTCAGTCTAAGGAGATCCAGTGATCAGATCAAAACCTCTACCTAGTGTTTATTCAAATTCTACCTTGCCCTTGGCCATTCCCTTTTCCTTATCCCCTCCAGGCTTGCTAGGCATACTGGAGGGAGAAGGAGAAGATATTAATCAGATTAATTTTGCCTTTTCCTTCCACATATGCAGAGCTAGAAACCTTTGCACTGAAGACAAGTACCTAAAACCATGTCCAGGCAAACAGCACAAAATGAGTGCTCAGTTGAAAGGAATGGATGCATGTGGGAGTGTGAGCAGACAGAAACTTTGGAACGCCCCTCAGTCCACTATCTAGTCGCTTTCTTATTTTAATTAACTGTTTTTTTCTAATGGCGCTAAACTGCTGAAGAATTACAAATACTACCCTGTAAATTGAGTGCAAAGGTCTAATTGCCCTGCCCTAGATGCTTCTCAGTGTACTTACTTATTAATGTTTCTCTTTTGTGTATGCTTGGGTGATGTTTCACCAGGATAAAGTACACAGGAAGGAGTCAAGGAACTAGATAAGAAAAGTAAGGTGTTTCTCTGATGTTTAGATTTCATCCAGAGCTAGGTTCCTGACACGTTCTTTGGTCCTAAACCATTCTCGGTACTCTGTCTCCCTTCCCAATATGACAGTTTTCCCTCACCCCCGTCATCCCTTATCTGGAATTTGAATACAGCTTTCATATATACCCCTTGCACATCCAAAAGCTGGACAGTATTCCTTCCCTCAGGATGTGGGGGTTCAGTATCCTGTTACTGTTGCTGCCATCGGTGGTGAGTTCTGCTCTATACCCAGAGGAGATGTTAGACACACAGTGGAAGTTGTGGAAGAAATCCTATGGAAGAGAATATAACAGCAAGGTGTGTGGAAACCTGGAGGGAGGCCTGGGTTGTGCCAGTTGGAAGTATTTGAGGGGTAAAAGTTTCTTCTACCCTATAACATTCTTTTAACTACTAGATGCTCTTTAATATAAATTAATATAAATTTCCCATTCTAGGCAAATCTGTCCCTGTTTCTTCACTCATACTTCACCCCCTCTGACCTCCAAGCCTCCCCCAACTTGTTATTCTGACCTTAAATCCCTTTCTCTTACATCCTTCCTAACTACCCCACATTGCTTTCCTCCAAAAGACTTCCCAGAATAATCCAATCCAATTCTGTGTACTCTCTTGGCTGATAGCTCAGGACTTATGGACTTTATATGACTGTAATATTTTTCATTTCTTTATGTACTAATTTGTAAGTACTCTTAAATTTTTTTTTCTCATGCAGCTACGTTTAGTTTCCCCACGTTGTCCTTCCAGAGGATGGGAATATCTGGTCTTTCTTCCTTCTGAATCCCTGATAGCACTTAGCTTAGGGTATACTTAGTGTAGCGTACAAAGAATGTTCAGTCAGCATCATTGCTGTCTCTGCTCTGCTCTGCTCAGGTGGATGAGATCTCTCGACGTCTGATTTGGGAAAAGAACCTGAAATACATCTCCACCCACAACCTGGAATTCTCTCTAGGTCTTCATACATTTGAGCTGGCTATGAATCATTTGGGAGACATGGTAAGTCTGTCTCATCACCTAGCTTCAACTTCCTTATGTAAGGGTTAAGTCTCAATGTGACAACAGGAGCCAGACTCATCTTAAGGTTTCTTTCCATTAAAAAAATGTCTTTTGGAATTTTTATTGCACATCATAATCATTTTCAGATATATTTCCTTTCCTCCACCGAACCTTCTGTTGTAATTTAAAAAAAAAAAGAGTTAAGCATAATTGACAGCCATGTCTGATGAGGGTTGCTCCTGTATCCTGTACCCACAGTACCCATCTTTCTATTAAGAGCAGGGGGATGTGTGTTAAATTTTCTGTTCTCTGCATCCCAGATCGTTTACTGTAATTAATTTGAGTTGAGTGTTTTCATATACATTGTGTGTATTGTGCATAGTCACTGTACATATTGTTTCCTTGTTCTGCATCAGTTCTTACAAGTCTTCCCATATTTCTATGAATTCCTCACATTCATGATTTATTTTGGTACAATACTGGTTCATTACATTTCCATAGTACAGATTCTTATGCCTTCCCTTAATCAGCAAGCATGCACTTTGTTTGCAGTTTTTTGCCACCACAAAGGGTGCTGCTGTGAATGTTTTGTTTGTATCACCCTATGAATTTCTAGATTTGCCTTTTAATTTTTTTTTTTTTTACTTTGGGACTCCTCAAACAAATACTGCCATCTGTCAGTTTTTCGGGTGTTTAGGTGAAGCACTTTTTTTGCCCACCTCAGACCAGTCACTGGAGACACTTTGAGGTCAGGAAAAAAAATTAATACCCCAAATTTCAGGTCAAAGTTTTTAAAAATAGACAAAACAGTATTTAGAGCTTAGGTTCAATTTGCTTATCTCTTCCTCTACAACCTCTACTAAATCTGGTCCGTGTTTTATTATGCTATTTTTTTCTACTTTACCTTTTTAAAGCCTGGCAGACAGGCTGGGTTCCCTTCCTCCTTTCTTCTAAACTTTAGAGTTCGAGAGTTTGCCCATCTATCTCTTTTCTCTACTCATAAATACTTATTTTTAACAAATGCTTTTTCAGTTCAAAGCCCTGTGCTAGACATTGAAGGAGACATAAAATTTAATTAAGACATGAATCCTTGCCTTCATAGAGCTTATAGTTGTAGTAGAGGGCTCATATGTAAAAGAGGCATAGGAGCATAGTGAAAAGACCCCTGGGTCTGGAGTCAGAAGGGCTGAGTTCGAATCCCAGGCTCATCTGCTTCCTTTGTCACCATGGGCAAGTCACTTCGGCTCTCTGGGACTTAGTTTCCTCATGTGTAAAAGGAGACGGTTGAACTAAGTAAGATCCCTTCCAGCTCTATGATCTTATGACTTGTTCACAAATAACTGTAATGTGGGAAAAGTGCAAAAAGTTTGTGAACGTAGTGCTGTGGGAGGTCCTACAAGGTAAAAGTCATTGTCATCAGTTATCTTACACGAGTTCTGAATCCTACGGATATGTTATAATCTTAGAAACGCTTTATGTCCATTTCTGACCAACTGTCAACCTTAAATTTCTCAGCTTCCTTTTTCTCCCTCAATTTCCAAACAAGTGTTTACATCATATAGGAGAAGGCATAAAAGGATGTGAACAAATTGTCTCCAAAGAATTATCAACTATTAGGAACCATATGAAAGACTTGTCCAAATCACAAAAAATAAGAGAACTGCAAATCAGAACAACTCTGAGATTTCACTTCCCATCCAACAAATTGGTAAAGATGACAAAAGATAGGAATAGTCAATGTTGGAGGAGCTGAAGAAAGACAGGCACACTATCCCACTGTTGGAATACTTGTGAATTGGTCCAACCATTTGGGAAAACAATTTGAAATCATTCTTTTTTTTTTCTTTTTCTTATTAGGCAATTGGGGGTAAGTGACTTGCCCAGGGTCACACAGCTAGTAAGTGTCAAGTGTTTGGTCTGAGGCCAGATTTTAATTCAGGTCCTCCTGACTTCAGGGCCATTGCTCTATCCACTGAGCCACCTAGCTGCCCCCTGAAATTATTCTAAAAATGATTAAAACATTCGTACTCTTAAACCCAGAGATTTTTCTCTAAGGCATATATACCAAGAAAGGTGCCATATATACTAGAACATTCACAGGAGCATTTTTGTGATAGCAAAAAACTAGAAACAAAGTAGGTGCCCCTTGCTTGGGAATAGCTCAGCAAATTGTGGTACATGAGTGTAAATGGACTACTGTAAGAAACAATGAATAGGAAGAATTTAGAGAAATATGCAAAGGTGTATATGAACTGATGCGGAGTGAAGCCAATAGCACCGGGAAAACAGTATATACACTCACTGCAACAATGTAAACAGAATTAATAATATGAAACTGAACAGTATTCAATTGTAATGACCCAGCTTGTCCCTGAAGAAGAGTTGAGAAAACATACTCCTCTTCATTAGAGAGGAAGAGATACGTATACATATACTAGTGTAGAATAATGCACAAACTGTCTGACACAAATGTATTGGTTAGCTTTGCTGAACTGCTTTTTTCCTCTTGGTTTCAAAATCATTGTTACGAGGGATGGCTCCCTGGGTCAGGGATGGGGAAAGATATCTATGGGGAAATGAAAGTGATATAAAAATCAAAGGCAGCAATACGCATTTTATTTAAGAACGTGTTGTAGGGGGAGAGGGGAAAATCTATTTAAAGGAAGCCTGCAATGAGCCCTTTTATAAAGCAAATAACAAATTTCTCAATTTCACCTGTTTTGAATCTCATTTTTTGCACACATTTTCTTAAAGCAGGGGACACATTAATAATTATAATTTAATATTATTATAACAAGAGTTATAATTAAAATCCATTAAGGTTCTACTCTGATGCCTTATTACAAAAGTGATAAGTAGTAACCTTGAGTTTTCTAGGGCTATACTAATGGAGAGAAAGCTCTTGAGGCTTTCTACAAAGCTGGAGTGTCAACAAAGAAAGGTCTAGAGTTCGATTACTTGTCTTCTGAGGAAGGACCTAGCTAAGTTTGGGGAGGCGTATTACGAGGTTGGCCCCATCTAGGATGATAACATTTTTTAGCCACAGCAATTCTCAAAAGACCATCCACTAAGTTATGGTAGGGTTGCAATCTGCATTGGTGAAGGGAGTACTCACATCAATGCAACTAAAGATCTTTGAAATATTGGAATATATAGTAAGAGAAAAGTGCTTTTCCCTATTTTTAGCTGTGTAAGCACCTCCTCCCCAACAGCGACTAAGTGAAAAGTCATTTTCATAGAGGAAACAGAATTAGAAAGAGGGACTCTCCTCCACTATGCTTTTCCATATTCTTCACCCCCCTCCCCCACATACATACAGTAGTGAGGAGTCAGATGATCTTAGGACTTAAAGTTATATTGCCAAACCTTTGCCAATAGGAAGACTCGGGCCATAAGCCAGACTTTAAAAAGGCATCAGAATTAAAAAAGGAAAACACATGGCGCAGATTCTTAGGGATCAGGAAGGGGTCATAAAGGAGGTAGCCTTTAAGTTCAGCACTTTAAAGGCTGGGTAAGAATTCATAATTCTGTGGGCAAAGAAAGGGAGAGGATATTCTAGTCATGGGAACTGTGTGAGCAAAGGTATGGAGGCCGGAAAGTGCAAAGGTCAGTGTGGACTGGGGATCATGAGCAGCCTTGTTTGGTTTAGCATAATGTACAAGGGAAGGGAGTAACAGGAATCAATAATGGAAAAGGAAGGTGGTGCCAGATTTCTATCAGAGGCCTTTATATCAGTGTGAACTTTGTTCAGTAGGCAGTGGTTTCTAAAACCATTGAAAGAGTTTTGAGCTAAGGAGTAACATCCCAGATGTATGCATAAATAACATTACTCAGAGAGTAGTGAGAAGCATGGCTTGCAAAGAATTAAGGCCAGAGACAAAAGAGTTTGTTAGGAAGTTACCACACTAGTCCAGGCATAGTTAGGGGGGTGGTAGAGAGACTAGAGGGAAGGAGGATAGATGAGAGAGATTTTGTAGAAATATGATTAAAAGAACTTGGCAAAGATTGGATGTGAGAGATGATGGAGAAAAAGGAGTCAAAAATAACATAAAGATCATGAACATGGAACACTGAGACATGTAATAAAGACAGTGGAAAAAGAAGATTTTTATTTGAGTGGAGCTGGGGAAGAGAGTATGTTTTGATGATTCTACGCTTCCTTTCTGTGAAACTCCTGATATTTAAAGATTGTCTCTAGACTCCCCAGTCAAAAAAAAGAAACTTCTAATATGACACCTCACATGATTCACAGTCTTTGAAATCACTTTCTCCATACCTTATTTGTCATCTTTCCGTTCATAATGCTGATTACTTCAACCATTCCTCTGTGTTCCAGACCAGCGAGGAGGTAGTACAGAAGATGACTGGACTGAAGGTGCCCCTGTCTCGCTCCCAGAACAATGATACCCTCTATTTCCCTGACCAGGAGGGCAAAACCCCCGATTCCATCGACTACAGAAAAAAGGGATATGTCACCCCCGTCAAAAATCAGGTACTTCTGTGCTTCCAGGATAGGTGTATGTGACTACTTCCATCACTTGCTTCTATTTCATGAGATGGTGGAGGGGGATGCCCACAGGACAGGAGGCAGAAAAATCAGCCTCTGAGAGAGAAATCCAAGTCTAGAGATTTTCCACCTTCCACTGTATACTTGTATGTCAGTATGTCAGAGACAATACTTTCCCTTAACAAGCTCCTTTGCCCATCTGCTTTGGAGTCCTCCTGCCCTTTTTCAAATGATTACACAGCACATGGTTGCTACTCTTCCTTTTTAAATGTCAAGCCTTTTTGATTTTTAAAATGTCTTTAACCATTTTTCAATAAAAGGTACTTATGAATGTAAACACAAGTAGCAGCTTAGCAATAACTAACATTCTAACCTCTTCCAATTCTTATAATCGCACATTCAAATGTGTTTTAGTTCCCTTTCTCTACCGTCCCTGTCTCCCACAAAGTCCTTCTCCAGTGATTCATTGTAGCATGGAAATGGCCCTGGTTGTGGAAGGTTATTCTGGCAATGTGGAAGTTGGCAGATCTTACCAAGCTGGAACTGTTCTAATTATGTGCCTGTTGTTTAAGGATGAGCCTGGCTAAGTTCAGAGAGGCTTGCCTCAAGGTTGGCTTCAGGTGATGATTTTTTTGACCACAGTAACTCCAAAAGACCATCCAATAAAGAATAAATTTAGGCTGCAATCTGTGTTGGTAGAGGGGGTGTCCATATTGATAGAGTAATATAGATCCTTGAAATATGGAAGTTGTAGTCCGTGTATGTGCATTTATTCCAACTCTACTTTTTGTTATCTTGAATAAATATTTCTACACCTCTGTTTATTTTTCATAGCTTCATGGCAGTGAACTCTCCATTGCATTGATATAGATTTTTTCCCATGTTTTGGTATTAAAAATAATATACAACTGCTCTTTTTATAAAAATAGTAATTAATTACACTTTACATTTGTGAAGTCAACTATACATTTCAGAGCACTTTCACATATACAGTATAGTACTCGCTCCTCACAAGAGCTTTGTAAGACATAGGACATATATAATGTCAAAGAAACCGGAGCCCTGGAGGTTAAGAGATTTCATAGGACCATGAATTTAGAGCTGGAAGGGCCTTGGAGGCCCGCTACTTTGACTTCTTTCTTTTACCATAGACAGGGGATATCCCTCCATTGTTCAATCCTTCTTTGAGTTTTGTCAAAACCATTTTGAATTTGTCTTTTTTTTCAACTTTATAAGATGCTTATATAGTCAATGTTTCAAAAGCATAGCCTGAAGTGGGTCGTGTTACATACCAAGGTTGTGTTATGATAGATTTTTGAAGTATTCAGTCTTGCATAGACAAGAGTCTTGGCAAGACAAAAAGAGGCTAAACAAATTTGTTCAGTGGCCCAGAAGTGAAATGATTGGCACAAAACCATCTGCAGAAAGGAAACTACGACATATTTGTGAAGAAACATCAGTTCCTCTAAATATGTTACTAGGTAATATTTTAGGTAATTAACTTTAGGAACATCTATCTGAATTGTCTCGTTTGTTCTAATACTGTGGATGGTTAAGAACAAAAGGCATATTAATGTAATGCATTTGTCTTATCAGCCACCTCAGTTAGTCCTTGTTTCTCAATAATCCAGAGGTCTTTGGGAAGTCTAGAAATAGAAGACTGAGCCCCTTCCATCTCTAGAAGTCTCCCAAAATCCTTCTAAAGATTTTACTTGGGTGTTTCAATACCCAGATTTTTTTTTTTAGGCAGTTGGGGTTAAGTGACTTGCCCAGGGTCACACAGCTAGTAAGTGTCAAGTGTTTGTTCTGAGGCCGGATTTGAACTCAGGTCTTCCTGAATCGAGGGCTGGTGCTCTATCCACTGTGCCACCTAGCTGCCCCCAGTACCCAGAATTTTTTTTAAAAATACATTTTTGTACAATTTGACCTATTGTACAGAACCCCAGCATCGTCACAATTAGATCCCTCACAATGAACGGTCACCGAAAACAGATATGTGCGACTGCATTAAAAAGTGATTGTGCATGGTAGTACAGGCAGCCTGGCTACACTTAGGTAGTTTAATGTTTGTCTAAAGAAAGGATGAGTGTGTGCTTTTTCAGTTTTTACCAACATTGTCTGATGTTTATGATCTGAGTTGTGTTGCTGTTTTAAGGGAGTTACCATTTACCCAGTTATTGTTTAGTCTTTCTTCAGTCGTGTCTGACTCTTTGTGACCCCATTTGGGGTTGTCTTGGCAAAGCTATTGGGGTGGCTTGCCATTTCCTTCTCCAGCTTATTTTACAGAAGAGGAAACTGAGGGCTAACAGGGCTAAGTGAGTTAGTTGCTTAAGGTCACATAGCTAATAAGTGTTTGAAGCTGTATTTGAACTCAGGTCTTCCTGATGCCAGGCCTGGCCCAGCTCTATCATTAATTTCAGTTATTGTGTTTATTTTCCCATTTTCTGTTTGTGTATTGCTTATTTTAAAATTTTAAAGTGCAGACTCATATCACTAGATTTCTCATTCTCTTATTGATATAAGAAATCAGCACTACAAATTTTCTTTGGCTTTATTCCATAGATTTTGATATGTAGTATCTTATCTATGTTGTCTTAGTTGATATAATCTACTACTATTTTCTCTTTTACTTAAGCATATTTATATTAAAACTTTATTGATATCTTGTTTTTACACAACTTGTACTTCTGAATGTGTCCCTTTACCCCTTGTGATGAAGAATAAAAGGAGACAGAAAAAAAGCATTTCAGTAAAATTAACCAATAAATCCACCAAATTTGAAAGGAGATGCAGTTAGTGCATACTCATAGCCCCCAATTTATGCAAAAAAGAGAAGTATTCTCTCATCTTCCCCTCTCCCCCAGGGCCGAGCTTGGTCATGCTTAATTATATAAGCAATACACAAACAGAAAATAGGAAAATAAGCGAGATAACTGAGATTAATGGTGGACTGTAAGAAAAGAGCAAGAAGGCACAGTGGATAGAGTGCTGAACCTGGAGTCAGGAAAACTCATTTTCCTGAGTTCACATCTGGCTTTAGACTTTTACTAGCTGTGCAATCCAGGGCTAGTCACTTAACCCTGTTTGCCTTGGTTTCTTCTTCTGTAAAATGTGCTGGAGAAGGAATTGGCAAACCACCCCAGCATCTTTGCCAAGAAAACCCCCAGTGGGGTCAGGAAGAGTCAGACACGACTGAAATGACTGAAGAATGGCAAGCAAACTACCAAAGGAGTACTTTCCAGGACTAGACAAAATATTAACAATTAATTCAGAGCGGAAAAAGGGCCAAACTCTCAATGGAAATGATCAATTAAAAAAAGAAGGAATGAATGGGGAATAGCACTTCTAGGCCTAATGTTATATAATAAAATAATAGTGATCAAAACTGGTTAAAAAATAGAAAATTGTGTCAGTGAAATGGATATTCTAAGACAGAATCAGAAGCTATTATACTCTGTAATCCTAGTGTACAATAAACCTAAGATCAGATATGCTAAGGGAAGAGCTTTATATTTGGCAAGAATTGTTAGAAAAGTGGATAGCAATTTGGCAGAAAATTAAGTTTAGACTAGCACCTTACACTGCTCAGACATTATTTTAGCAAAGTATTTTTTACTTTACATATTGGCCTATACCTTTTTACTCGTTGTATTATTATTTGCTACTAACTTTATTGCATTATGACTTATAAATATAGCACATGGGATTGAGAGACGGTGTGATATTGTGGATTGAGAGTTGGCCCTGAAGCCAGGAAGATCTGGGTTTCAAGTCCTACCACTTCTAACACATATTGACTATGTAACCATAGGCAAATCTTGGAGACTTTAAGTTGCAAAGAGGGTGCCAGCCTGCATTAGTATAGGGAATTTACTCACCTTATATTGATGAAATTACAAGTCTAGTTTCTAACACTATGATATTTCTACTTTTTTATATTTAACCATATTTTATTTGTAACTCATTACATAATCAGTGTTTGTGTGTGGTCTGTATGTGGTTTTGTACTATTCTGTTTGTGCTATATGTGGTGTTTACTTTTTCCATCAGTAATGAGTAGGCATAGGGCTAGGTGGTGCAGTGGATACAGCTCCAGGCTTGGAGTCAGGAGAACCTCAGTTCAGATCTGGCCTCAGACACTTACTAGCTATGTGACATTGGGCAAGTCACTTAACCCAGATTCCCTCCAAATCCCCCTCTCCCCCAAAAAAAGAATGAATAGGTATGAAAGAGAGTATCGTAGTAAGAATCAAATGAGTTGGGAAATTTCCATGGATACATGGATAAGAATTTTTTCTTCTCTTTTCTCTGGATCAATCTTCATTACTTAGGACATCTGGGCAGGGGTCCAGTCATTCTCAGTTATATGTGGTAATGGAGGTGAAGTCCAATTTCACTTTGGTTTGGGGGAACATTCTGTGATCCTCGCCCTACCGCTGACATTCCAGCAGATTTACCTTTTTAGTTAACGTTTTGTTCTAATGGATATTAAAATTGATTTTTATTCTCTGAGAGTATACCAGTTGCATAACGGTCAGAAATAACAGGGAATGTCCCAGGTAGTGTGGCAAGGTGGTAAGAGCACAGGACTGGAAATTGGGAGACTTTATTCTAGTCTTGGCTTTGCCGTTAGCTAGCTGTATGACCTTGGGCAAATAAGCTCTCTGGTCCTCAGTCTCTTCATCTGTAAGATGAGAGAGTCAGACTAAACGGTCCTTAATGTTCTGTCTAGATTTATCACTCTATGATTCTAAGCCGATATAGGTTTAAGTAGTTGCTGTGCATGAGAGTTTTTCAATAGATTATATCCTTTGCTGAATTGATCCTTGAATTGTGACCACATAGGAGAGACATCACTAAAAGGGGAAATTACTAAATCAATACAAAACTATTTATAGTTGATTCATTTATAATAAGAAACTAGAAGCAACTTATGTGTCCAGCAGTTGGGAAATGGCCAAATAAATTGTAGTACAACAGTGTAAGAGAATATTATTGTACTGTTACGATAATAAATAAGAGGAATTCAAAGAAATATGAAAAGATATGAAGTAATATAGTGCTTAGAAGGCAGAATTAGAACAGCAAAGAAATTGACTACATAAAACAATAGCAGCAAAACTTGATAAGAACATAGAAAAGAATTTGGAAGAAGACACAGTAAGTAAACCATTTGTTAAACATGTACTTTTCTCTCTTTTAAAATGCCTCCTAATCCTCTGAATGTTTCTTTCTAATCACCCCAGGGTCAGTGTGGCTCCTGCTGGGCCTTCAGTTCTGTGGGTGCGTTGGAAGGCCAACTCAAGAAGAAGACTGGTAAACTCCTCAACCTGAGCCCCCAGAACCTTGTGGACTGTGTGTCAAAAAATGATGGCTGTGGCGGGGGGTACATGACCAATGCCTTCCAGTATGTGCAGGAGAACCGGGGCATAGACTCGGAAGATGCTTACCCTTACATCGGCCAGGTGAGCTCCCCTGCTGCCCAAACACAGCATCTTCACATCCCTAATGTGGCTGCTTCTTCTAGCCCTAGAGCTACAGCCCTGAGCCTGTTCCCTACTCATCCTGCCTTTGAGATGGGACTGGGTCTCCAAAGCAGACAAGTGGGAAAAGAGTTCCCCTTTGCTAAGCAACTTAGTGAGACTTTCAGACCTTAAAACCTCAATTCTTCTTTCTTGCCACTTGTCCCTGGGAAATTTTAGGAAGTGCATATTCTTGAGAAAATATCTGTGACTCTCTTAGAGGACCATATTTGGGATTCTCTAAAAGAATCCTCTTAAAGAATGAGAGCCTTCCTTATGTGTCATTTGCCACATGCATTTGACACTTTTTTTTGCATGCTAGGCATTAAAGCCTTTGAAAAGTTGGATCAATTATTATAAATTAATTTCAGCTATGAACTAGTAGAAAACAGGTGATTCTTGATTTATTGTTGTTTTAAACAACAGAAATTAACTCCTATACTCCCATAAAGCATTTAATAGGGAGATGAACTGGGCTTTTTAGTGTAAATTCAACTTTGGGAGAGTTTCTTGGCTGCTCTGATCCTCAATTTCCCCATTTATAAAGTGAGATAACTGGAGTAGATGTTCTATTAATATTTAACTCTTATCTATGATGCTACGATATGTTATCCTAGTAGCAATAAAGGGCATAGATACATAGGAAAGTGCATACAGGACTTTGGAACGGTAGTCAGAAGGCAGAAAGTTTTGAGATTACTAAACTTACTCTGTGCTTGTTTCTGAGAACCCTATGTAACAGTAGGATTAGTCAACATTTCTTAAAAACTTACTATATGGTTTGCACCATACCAAGCACTGGGCATACAAAGAAAGGCAAAAACATGGTTCCTCCCCTCAGGAAGTTCACATTCTAATAGGTATGCAAAAAAAATTGTACGTACAAAATCTATACAGTCTAGCTGGAAGATAATCCCGGAAAGAAGACACCAGCAGTGAGAAAGCCTGGGAAAGGCCTTCTACAAAAGGTGGGATTTAAGATGAAGTTTGAAGGAAGCCAGGAGGTGGAGGGGGCTTAATGAAAAGGAACAGCCATGGGAAATGGAATGTCCAGTGTTAGGAACAGCAGGAAGGTCAGCAGTGTTGGATCATAGAGTACGTGGAGGGTTGTAAAAATGAGACGTTTATTGATGGGGAAGGGAGAGATAGTGACATAATCAGAACTGTGCTTTAGGAAAATTATTTTGACAGCTGAGGAAAGGATGGACTGGCGTGGGCAAGGCCTGGGGCTGGGAGACTCAACCAGCTAAAGCAGGGAGATGGCAAAAGGGAATGTATACAAGACACATTGTGAGGGTAGAAATGACGAGATTTGGAAAGGAGTTGAGATGACACTAAAGTTGCCAGCCTGGGTGACTGGGAGGATGATGGTGGTGGCCTTGACAATAATATGGAAGTTGGGAAGGGGGGAGGGTAGGAGGAGGGAAAATAATGAGTTCTATTTTTGACATGTTGATTTTGAGATGTCTACAGGACATCCCAGTCAAGATGTCCAGTAGGCAGTTAGAGAGATGAAAATGGAGCATGGGAGGGACGTGGGAGATGCATACATAGGTCTGAGAGTCATCTCTGCAGAAAAGATGATTAAACCCATGGGAGCTGATGAGATCACCATGCGAGATAGGATAGAAGTGGAATAGAAAAGGGCCCAGGTCAGAGCCTTGGGGGATACCTACAGTTAATGACCTTGACCTGGGGGCAGAACCAGCAAAGGGGATTAAGAAGGAGCAGTCAGACAGGTAGGAGGAGAACTAGGAAAGAGCCATGTCATGACAACCTGGAGTTGAGAGATTATCCATCCACAAGAGGGTGATTGACAGGTGCAAAGACTGGAGAGAAGTCAAGAAGGATGAGGATTGAGAAAAGGCTATTGGATTTGGGAGTTAAGAAATCATTGTTAATGTTGGAGAGAATAGTTTTAGTTGAATAATGAGCTCAGAAGCTAGATTGCGGAGGGTTTAAAATTGAGTAAGAGGAAAGGAAGTGAAGGTACTGAGTGTAGACATCTTTTTCAGGAATTTTAGTTGAGCAAAGGAGGAGAGATCTAGGGCTATAGCTAACAGGGATGGTCAGATCAAGTGAGGGTTTGTTAATGATGAGAGAGACATGAGCGTGTTTGTAGGCAACAGGGGGAAGCAGCCAGTAGATAGGGAGAAATCGAAGATTAGTGAGAGAGTGGGAATAATAGTGGGGACAGTCTGCTGGAGAAGGGATGAGATGGGATGGGATTGTGTGCTTATGGAGAAGGACTTTCCTTGGCTAAGAAGAAAATCATCTCTTAATGTGAGATGGGGTAAAGGAGGAGGTTGCGGGGGGGATAACTGAATGATATGAGATGAGGAGGGGATAAGAGGGTGCTCCTAGCAGATAGCCTCAAGTATTTTGGTGAAATATTAGTGTGGGGAGGGCTAGATTGGTTTTGAATAGCCCTTGTAACAAGTTGGATAGTAAATCCATTATGTAGGCATAAAAGGATTAACAATGCTGCAGTGAGGGTCCAAATAAGATAATGTAGCATAAATATGTGATCAGCAAGGTTTCATGATTTTCTCCAGCTCTATTTAGTGGCATGTGAATGTGTGCGAGAGAGCATATGGTGGGAGTAATCCAAGTTTGGGTTGCCAAGCCATGCCAAAGCTTGGCAAGGCATAATTAGCTATAGAACAAGTGGGTAAAGGATTTGAGTGTAGATGATAAATGTAGAATTGAATTGGTTTACCAAAGGGTTGAGACATGGAAGGGAGGAGAGCGTAGACAGTTGCAGCACTGATTGTTTGGGAAAGAACTTAGGGGTGGAGGGATTAGAGGTCATGGTGAAGATGAAGGAACAGTAGTAGGGTCATAAGGCAGAGGAAAAGATGGAATGTCAAAAGATTATGAGCAGATAAAGGAATTTTGGAGTTTGTGAACATGAAATAGGATGTGGGTGATGGCGAGATCAAAAATGTGATCATCTCTGTGTAGCTAAAATGGAGTGGAGGAATAAGTTACAAGAATTAAGTAGATCAATGTAGGGTGATTGAGAGAGTGGCCATCAGTGTTTTGGAGTCCCCTAATATGAGAGCAGAAGTGTGGGTGGAAAGACACTGAGCCAGGCCCTGAACTCACTTAGAGAAGGAGGGGAGTGCCCTAGAACTTGGTAGGTAATCACTACCATCATCTCGATTGGGTAATAAATTTAGATTGAATGAACCTCAAAGTGGGAGAGGCTGCTGAGTGATGATAGTAAAAGAGATTTGGGGGTGGCAGTGGGGAACAAGGCACATTCTGGCTCCTCCATGACCAGTGATTTGGGTGGTGTGAGTAAAAGTGCAACCAGTACTGGAAAGGGTGGTTAAGGATAGTGTTTAAAGAGACTACTGACATATCTTCATTCATAGGCTTGTAGAATGTCAGCATGAAGAGAAACGTCAGGTTATTAAGTACAAGCTCCAATGAGAAAATCCTTTGCTTTAAGCTTTAGTAATACTAAAATGCACAGAGCCCTTATCTTGAGAAATTTTTCTCTCTCTTTCCTCCTATCTCCATTACTGTTATGGGATTAAACCTAGAAGATAAGTTGCCTGTGGGATTAATTTTTTTGCACATAGTTGTGGAGTGTGATTGACAGTGACCTAAGGCCCTGGAAATCCTTCCTGATGACCTAGCATCAGAGGGATTTTCTCGGCCTGTTAGGTGGAGGTCACCCTATATTTCAAAGCCAGAGACACAGAAATATGTTCTGAAAGCAAATTCTGGGACAGTTTTCACCCACCAGCACACCTCAATTGCCACATCCTCATTTCTAGTAAGGTTTCTGCTTTTTAATAATCTCCTCATCCTCCATCTCCCTGATTTTCCAGGATGAAAATTGCATGTACAACCCTACTGGCAAGGCTGCAAAATGCCGGGGGTACCGAGAGATCCCTGAAGGGAGCGAGAAAGCCTTGAAGAGGGCAGTGGCCAGAGTGGGACCCGTAGCTGTTGCAATCGATGCAAGCCTGTCCTCTTTCCAGTTCTATAGCAAAGGTAGAATGTGAAGGTGGGGAGACAGGGTTTTGGTGGCTGTCCTTGCTAAGCAGGGTTGTGTTCTACTCTGGCGAGGCCTGAAGACCTCTAGGACTTAGCTCACACCTTTGGCTTCTGAATTTACTTATGAGAAAGCCTGACAGCTATTGCTCCATCCAGAAAGGTTGACTAAAAAAATTCTGTGATCAGGCCATAGGGTTGAGAAACTTCCCAGAAGAGCCCCTCAAGTTGAGAGACCCCCCCCCCAAGGTGCTCCTGACTGGGAGGTACACCAGAGGAATGCTGATTTCATCTCTGGAGGTGGGATCAGGGTCCCTCAAAGTTCCCTGAACTGCCAGGAACCCTTACCTATAAAAAGTTGTTCCCTAGGTGTGTATTATGATGAAAACTGCAACAGCGACAATCTCAACCATGCAGTGCTGGCTGTGGGATATGGGATTCAAAGGGGTACCAAGCACTGGATCGTCAAAAACAGGTAAATGTTGGGAACGCTGCCCGCTCACTCGCCCTCTTCCCTAAGCGCCAAGCGCCCGCCTGCCACCTTCCTAGAGTTCTTTTCTTCCCTCGTACCAAGGACGTTGGCAGTCCTAGAAAGTTCACCTAGGAGAATCTACGAGCTCAGTCTGCGCTCTGATAGCCCCTGAATTGTTCATTCATTTTGGTTGTGTTCAACTCATTACCCCAGTTGGAGTCTTCTCGGCAAAGATACTGGAACGGTTTGCCATTTCCTTCTCTAGCTCATTTGACAGATGAGGAAACTGAGGCAAACGGTGTTAAGTGACTTGGCCAGTGTCATACAGCCAGAGTCAGAGGCTAGAGTTGAACTCACAAAGATGTCTTTCTGATTCCAAGCCCCGTGCTCCATGCACAATGGTTTCACCTAGCTATCCCCAGCCACCTGGATATGATAGTCTAAAGGGAGGATACCTTCCAGGAGAGGCAGAAGTCTAGGGGTATTGACTTTACCATGTCCTGAAGCTTTTGCCTTCACATCTGAATTTGTCATAAAGACTTTATCTGATGGCGTCTGCTGTGCAGTTTTTCAGGGTGCATTTTGTTGTGCTTGCCCCCGGAGCTGGGATAGTTGTAATTTGGGAGTTTATCCATATTTAGGAATGGAAATAATTGCAATTAAACCATGTAGCGCTAGGAAATGCAGCTGGATGGCTCAGTGGATAGAGCTTGGACCAGGAGTCAGGAAGACCTGAGAGATCCGAATTCAAATCTGCCTCAGACACTTGGCAAGTCACTTGCTCTATCTACCTCAATTTTTTAATCTTTAAAATGGGGATAATAGCACCTACCTTCTAAGGTTGTTGTAAACATAAAATGTGATCTTTGTAAAGTACTTTCCAAACCTTAAGGCTCTGTATAAATTCTAGCTATAAGCTATTTGAAAGTACGTTAATGAGGCTATAATATGCCTCTGTAGGGCAGGTAGGTGGAGCAGTGGATAGAGTGCCAGGCCTAGAGTAAGGAAAACTCATCTTCCTGAGTTCAAATCTGGCCTCAGATACTTACTAGCTGTGTGACCCTGAGCAAGTCACTTTACCCTGTTTGCCTCAGTTTCCTCATCTGTGAAATGAGCTGGAGAAGGAAATGGCAAGCTACTCTAATATCATTGCCAAAGAAACCCCAAATGGGGTCATGGAGAGTCAGACAAGATTGAAATGACTAAACAGTAAAGGGCCTCTGTGGCCTGTGCTGGTTTCCATTTTGGGCCTTCCTTTTGTTTTTTTTTTGTTTGTTTGTTTGTTTCTGCTATTGCTATTTTCATCACTTTGTCTTCTCCTTAGACCATGATTCCACTCAGAGATGGAAGTTATATTTATTCTCTGTTACAGTTTAATTCCCAGCTCCAAAATTAGAACCATTCTTCACTAGGTAGGCCAGTAAAAGGGTGGGAGCATTTGCCTAGAACCCAGTACTTTTTGCATTTTTCTCGGAGAAGAGGGAGAATCTGTGACTCGAGCCTTTTAGTACTGTGAGGATTTACTCTACTCTCCCCCAACCGGTTGTTACCCACCCCCACCACCCCCCATTAGATGCTTTATAAAGGTTGACTGGTGCTGATGCCTTAAGCAATCGTATATTTGTTCATTCCTCAAGCATATTTTGGGTGTCTGCTCTGTGCCAGGATGTGAAGCTAGCTGGGTTGGAGAATTCAGGAAGTATAAAACTTAGAAATGACCTATGAGATTGGTAAAGGCCTGTTCATTAAGGGAGATACCCCTTGGGAATGAGCAATGAGCTAGAACCAAAGTGTCTTCTTCCCTGGCATTTAGGGCAGGTGAAACTCCCAGGCCCTTTGCATCCCTAGCCCCCCACTAGAGAGCAGACAGCAGGTCAAGCATCTGCACTATTTTTTTTCTTTTTTTATTAATTTATTTTGATTTATGAACAATCACTTCCGTATGCTTTTGAGTTTTAAATTTAAATGATGTCGAATGAAGACATTTAGACCATTTTCTGTTGCTCCTACAGCTGGGGGAGAGCAGTGGGGCAACAAAGGTTACATCCTGATGGCCCGGAACAAGAACAACGCCTGTGGTATTGCCAACCTGGCCAGCTTCCCCAAGATGTGATTGTGGCCATTTGACTTCCTTCGACCCTTTCTTCCCACCCTCCTTCTGTTCTTGCAAGGTGGGGGGTGCCCTTTGGAAAGGAGCTGGCCAGTCTCTCTTGGAGCAAGCTTGGTGGTCTGAAGATGGTTCACCTACAATTTACCTTTTAGTATTACAAAGTGCCCTTCAGATGACCTCCTCCTCCTCCTCTCCCTCCTCTTCCTCTTTCCCTTCCTCTCCCCAACCCCTACCTCTACTTGTCTTCCTTTGAAGTGTCAGGGTCAGGTGTGAGGTACAAGGGGTAGAACATGCCCATGGCCAGTGAGGTGTGAACAGGCAGGCTGTCCTGGTGCTGCTGCTGTGCCCACGTGAGGAGAGCTTGGGGAGCTTCCAAACAGAGCTGACTCTCACCCAGCTAGAACAAGTCAGCCCTTTGTCCTGCCTAGAGGCAGAGACACGGACAACGACGTGGAATGATGTCAGTCATTCAGGGTTCTGTTCATCCGGGTCTGTGAGTCGCCAATAATCTCTTCCTCATCCTCAAAAGTGAGAGGTGCCTGCTTTCCATCTTATTTCATGAAACTATGATTTTCTTATTTTGTAGTAAGTTTAGATTATACCGGAAATATGTATTTTTCTCTCTCTGTTTAAATATTTTGAAATAAACTGAGTACTGATCACTTGTTTTAGTGCCCTTTCAATGGATGGCCTAATGGACCAGTATGGAAACTTCTCCTGGCATTGAAAAAGGAACCTAAAGCCTTGTCTTCCACTCCTAGTAAGCTTAACCAAGCTTAACTTTTTTTGAAATTCAATTTAATATTTTATTTTTTTCCTCAACTGCATGTAAAAATAATTTTCACATCCTTTTTTTTCTCTTTTCAAATTTTGACTTCCCATTTCTCTTCCTGTTCTCCTTTATTGAGAACACAGCAAGCTTAACTTTGAAGGAGTACATCTGCCTGTTGCTAAATAAGTTGAACTGGGTTAACATCCAGGCCTGTAGATGTGGTAATGAGATCATGGGAGCTGGCTTTTCCTTGAACCCACTCACACTTGTAATAAAGAGCAGCAAGGGCCCTGACTGCAGGAACAATCTCAGTAAAGCAAATCCACAGAGGGCTGAAGGTTGTTAGCTCAGAATCCCAGCCTTCAGTTCCTCACCCATTACCCAGTTACCAGCCTTGACTTTTTCATAAGGTGCTCTTACCCCTATTTCCTGGCTGTGCAGTTTCTCCTCTTCCCCCGAAACCAGGGAGCCTTCTCCCAAAATTATGGAACCTGCTCAGCTAGAGCCCATGATGAGTGTGGGGTCAGGAGAACTTGTAGAATTCTGTAGCTGGTTTATTTAGAGGTGGAAAGATATTCTCATAGGATCATAGATTTAGAGCCAGAAGTGACCTAAGAGATCATCTAAATGGGAGTTAAACAGCTGCATCCAGTAATGGAATTTGGGTAACTGGACTGAGGCTCAGAATACTGGAATGGCATTGTCCTGAAATAGAATGAGGAGACTACACATCAGATCAACAAGCATTTATTTGTTAAGTGCTTACTATGTTCCAGGCACTGTTCTAAGCCCTGGGGATACCAATACAAACAGAACCATAGGCCCTGCCCTCAAGGAGCTTACATTCTAATGGGAGAAGATCACAAAAAAGGAAGCTGGATAGGGGATAATGGGGGAGGTGATCGAATTTCCAGGCTAGAGGGGTTTCTATGATTTGTAGAGAGTCAGGAGTGCAGTTTGGAGAGGAATGAAGACATGAATGTCCTGCTCGTTCTCTTTGAAGTGGAGACTCTGGAAGAAACCAGCCAATCAGAGAAGCTGGGAGGTATAGGGTACTTTCAGTGTGTGAAGTCCAGGGCCAGAGTGAGTGTGGAGTACACCTAACAAAGGCTAGTAAAAATACAGTTCCTTAGAATCTTGTAAATCTAGTCAAAAGGGCTTTAAATTGAAAGAACAGGGGAGTGGAGAAAACTGCTTATGGATGTATCTACTACACTAAACACCATAGACGTGGTTGTAATGTATGAAGAGCAGCAACATACCAGAAATTCATTGAAGACAAATTCAAGGAAGAATAAAACCCATGACCTCACATGTCTGTACATATATGTATGAAATATAAATAACCACCAAGGTGAACCCAGCTAGCCATTGTGACACAGAGGCCAATTTGACTTCAGAAAGATTGATGTGGTGGGATCCATGATTGAATGCTGAAGTTCTGTCAAGGGTATAGCTTATTTGAAAAGAACAGGAGAGTTTAAAAAAGGGGCAGGGATGGGAGAGGTATAGTAACACAATAGCACTATATATTAATTTTTTAAGGTAGTTTTATTTTTTCAATTAATAAAAGTCTGTTTTCTCTCCCTCACACCTCTCTCACACTGGAAAAAAAAATGAGGAAAACAAAACCCTTCTAAAAATATTCATAGTTATTGCATTGGCCATGTCCAAAGAATGTATCTCAAAAGTAGCATGCTTCACCTTCACTCCTTTAGGGTTGTGGTTAGTCATTAGATTTGTCAAAGTTCTTAAAAGTCTTTTAAAGTTGTTTGTTTTTAAAACACTGTGTATAAATTGCTCTGATTCTACTCACTTCATTTGCATTAGTTCATCTTCTGAAGTTTTTCTTAAACAGTCCCTTTCATCATGTCTTGTAGCAGAATAATATTCCATTCATATACAATAATTTTATTCAGCTGTGTCCCAATTGATGGGCTTCCGGTAAGTGTCCAGTTCTTTGCCACCAAAGAGCTCATGGGTACATTCTTTTCAAGCTCTTTTATGTAGTCTCCAGAGAAAAAGAGCTTCAACATAGGCCTGCCGTTAAGTCTAGGATTACTGATTTACAGGTTCCCTTTTGTCTTTGTCCATTGTATGGTCCACTTCTTTATAGCAAACACTCAGAATGTAATAAGGAGGGACAGACCATAGCTGGACAGGGAGGAGCACACATGACTGACTTACTGTTCACTGAAGCCCATGGCAGGAGAAAGGACAATATAGAAGCAAATGAACACAGTAGTATGGTGTTTGATTAAACCTAAAGAATCTAGTTACTGGAGTAAGAACATGCTATTTGATAAAAAAAAATGCTGGAAAACAGTTTGGCAGAAATTGGGTGTAGAACATCTCACATAGGATGCCAAGATAATCTCCCAATAATATATAATTTAGACATAAAAACTGACATGAGCAAAACAGAGGAGCAAGAAAAAAAATTACCTTTTATGTTTATAGATGAAGAAGAGTTCATGACTAAAGAAACAGTAGAATCACAGAAAATAAAATGGACAGTTTTGATTGTATAAAACTGAAAAGTTTTGCACAAATCTGATACAGTTAAAAATTAGAAGGGAAATGTTATTGGAAGGAAAAACTTTGTAGTAATTTTCTGTAATAAAGATCTTATATCCAAGATATATAAGGAATAAATTCTCCATTCTCCAATAGATAAATGATCAAAGGGTATGAAATAGGTAGTTTTCAAAGGAAGACATCTAAGCTATCGATATCCTTATGACTAAATGCTCCAAATTATTAATAATTTAATTCAAATTAAAGCAACTCTGAGGTTTCACTTCATACCCATCAGATTGGCAAAGGTAACAAAATAACAAAAAATAACAAAATCACAGATGTTGGAGGGGCTGTAGGCAAACCAGCACACTAAAGCACTGTTGGTGGAATTATGAATCTGTCCAGCCATTCTGGAAAGGAGTTTGGAACTGTGTCCCAAAGTCACTAAACCGTGAATACCCCTTGACCCAATTATACCAAATCCCAGGTAGGCATATCCCAAAGAGATCAAAGAGAGTGGAAAAAGACCCATGTGTATAATAATACTTACTAGTTCCTTTCATAGTAGCCTCAAACTGAAAACTAAATGGGGAGGGGGTGTCTACCTAACAAATCAAGGTAGAGGACTATAATGGAATATTAATATGCCAAGGGGCAGCTAGGTGGCACAGTGGATAGAGCTCCAGCCTTGGACCTGAGTTCAAATGTGGCCTCAGACACTTGACACTTACTACCTGTGTGACCCTAGGCAAATCACTTAACCCTGATTGCCTCACCCAAAACAAACAAACAAACAAAAAGAACATTAACATTCCAATATGCCATAAAAATACCAAAATGGACAGTTTCAGAGGAAACTAGAAAGATCTCTATGATGCAGAGTGAAGTGAACAGAACTCGGAGAACAGTTCATGTAACGTGACAGCATTATAGAGAAGGATGACTTTAGAATACTGCTTAATGAATCATGAACCACATGTCTGGAGAACTGAAAACGAATCAATGCCGCTCATCTCCTGTCAGAGAGGTGAGATGTGATGTACTTAAAATCCACAAGATTTGCATTTTTGGACTTTGTCAATGAGGGATTTTTGTTGTTGTTTTTGGACTTAGATGTTTGTTATCTTTTTTGGGAGGAGGGGGATGTTCAATTAAAGAAGGCAGTGGGGTATTTGCAAAAATAAATAATTAGTTGTGGTCCCCATGGGGGTGGGGGTCCCCCAACAGGGGAAACTGTTGTGAAAGGATGAGACAATAGCAGTCTGAGGAATGGAGTTTGGTGTGTTTATCCCTAAGATCACCTGAGAGGTATTTCTCTCATCTTGCAACACACACTGACACCCTTGTCCATGGGTTGCTGCTGGTGGGTTAGTAAAAAACCTGCTGCATGTGCATGTCTCCTTCTTTAGAGTGTTTGCGGGTAGAACTGCTTTCGTTGTTGTCCATGTATCCTTAGCACTCAGGAAAGTGTCTGGGCACATGGTAGGCACTTAACAAATACTTGATTAATTGATTGATGAGCCTTCAGGAAAATATATTTTTAGCAGCCCCTGTTGGGTGTATTTCATTCCTGGCCAAGAGCTCCTCATTCCAGAGAAATCCAAAATCCAATCAGACATCTTTTTAACCAGCTGATCAAATGTCCTATTTCTGCCTTTCTCTTCTACTCTTTCATTAGTAGCTCAGTAATTAGTAGTAATTAAGACACGGCTCGTGCCTGAGGTCTTCAGTTTCTTGCCCAAGACTTTATCATCCTTCGAAATGTTTTTGAGATTCCCTCTGGCAACATCCTTTATGTCCACATGAATCACCTGAAGTGGGTAGTAGTCATCAGGTTGAGCAAGCCTTGGTTAAATCCTGCATATAGAGCCTGAGAAGGTAGCTTGACTCTCTTCTTGTTCATTTCAGATCACCAGATGGAGTTGTCTCAGTAGGGAGTCCTCACTGACCGCTACTTACTTGTCTTCTTCCTTTGGTCATCTGACACCACCTATGCATTTGTCATCATTCCTTAGAAGACAAGCAGCTGCTTTTCCCTCAGTGGGTCTAGCACCACTAACTTTCAGGAAGAGTAACAACAATTTCTTAGCTCCAAGCGTTTAATGATCTTTATTCCATTTTTCCTTTGTCATGTTGTTCCATCCTGTGATCTGTCAAGGGTCAGGATTTTCCTCTGCTTCTTCAGTCTCTTTTTCTCCATGTTTTCACATTTCAATCCTTCTTCCATTTTTAAAAGGGACACTTTATTCTCTTATGACTTAGAGCAATGGTCTTTAAAGGAGAAGCTGGGTCTCCCTTGGGTATCATGCTCTTACTCAGAGGAACATGTGATTTGACTCCAAGGGGCATGTGATTAAATAATTAGAAGATGGAA